TAAGCTAACTGCTTATTGTCGGCCAGCTGGGGGTGTGATTCCTTCCAAGGAAACTGCACGTAGAGAAACCCATTGTCGAAGCATGCGGTATCCTCGAAGTGCTTGAGGATATAGGAATTAGCGATGGCGTTTTCGTCATCGTGGGGCTGATCTGTAATACCTAAACGTTCTAGTTGCCACAATCTGGCGACGATGTCCTCGTCTTCATCGTCTTCTCGCCACTGCTCCATCCCGGTGGATGTTGAGACGGGATGGATCTGCGAAAAAAAGATGAACTTGAGACAACGGTACCAAATCGTGTGTGGGTCAGAACTAATCCTGACGGTAGGCATACAGATGATCCTTGTGTGATGATATCCCAGAAATGGTCAATACCTATGAGGATGTCGACGTTGACCGATGCATCCTCATGGTAAGTCGGAAGATCGAATCCAAACTGACGAATGAAATCGATATCTTCCTTAGGCAATCCTGGTGAGGTAGTGGGACTTGTGAGTTTGTCTTTGGTGCGTACAAAGACTGTGAGTTGCTTATCGAATAAATCGATAAGTGTGAGATCAGCTTTACCAGAAACTTCCGTGGTCTGATGTCCTCCAAAAGCCGTTAACGTAATCGGCTGATGGTCATAAACATGAAGACCTAGTCGTCTGACTGCGGATGTGGTGATAAAGCTGGTCTGTGCGCCGGAATCGAGCAAAAGGGTCATATCCTGGAGATCTCCTGAGGCAGTGCGAGCTTTGGCTTTCACCAGCATCAAAGCTGGGTGAAGCTGGGGATTGTGCGAATGGAGCTGCAGACGTAGATAACACTGGTGATAGTCCTCATACTCCGTATCGGACTGTACCAACAGCTGATCATTCGTCCTTGCCTCCTCAGGATATGGCGATCCTGATCTTCGTCCTCTGCGTCGTTCCGGTGATGATGGGGATCGATATCGTCGATTCGTGGGGGATGACTCTCTGACGGGTACATCAAAACGTACACGTGGAGATGGGGATCGGGATGACTCACGTTCCCGAGAGTGAGAGCTGGAACTCGATCTGCTGCGATATCCTCTCTGTTCGCGGGGCCTATAAGCACGATCACGAGAACGATCTCGGGATCTCCTGCTGTCCCGTGCTGGACTTCTCGAAGGAGAATAGTCCTTAGAGGATTGGCGACTTCTCGTAGCGGGTCGTGATCCATGGGGTGACCTGGTCCTTGGGGATCGGTTTCTCCTTGGTGCAAACCTACAGAGGAGTCGATGGTGGTAGCCTCTACAATTCCTGCAGATGGGATAATTGCACTGATCTTGGCGATGTCCTTCACGAAAACACTTCCAACATAATCCCAGAAGCTGCACGATCTTACGGCGAACGTTGACTGGGAGCTGTTGGTTGCATCCACGAGAGGAGTGTGCAAAGGAATCGCAGAAACAACATGCGGCTGGATCATAAAGTGATCTTGGGGAAGACGTTGGCTGACGTCCTGGGGAAATATCTCTATTGATGACTTAAGTACTACTGCGGGAGCAAGTCTGCTCGAACCTCTCCCTTGACTGAATAAGGTCATCGAGGTGAGACATGACTTGTCGAAGATCAAAGTCGGCTCGTTTCTCGAACTCGACGTTGTTAAGTCGCTCCTGGATCGACAGGGGGAACTTAGTCCGTACGAGATCGATAATATAAAGGGCACGATTCAGATCCTCGAAGCGCTTAAGGGCATGGAGGATTCCCTGAATCCGGAACCAAGTGTTTCGCATATCCGAAGCTGATTCGGTTGCGGGCTGAAGATCTCGGAGCTGCTGATGAAACAGCGCTCTGGTCCTCCTCGGGCAGTCGTACCGCTTCTTCAATGCTTGCACCAACTGATGGTAGTTGTTCCGTCCTGGTTCAAGGTCCTGCAACACCACTTGAGCTTCTCCCTTGAGAAGATTCATGAGGTAGAGATATTTCATGTTGAGGTCGATGTTGGGGTCGTTGTGAACAGCTAGCTCAAACGTGCACCAAAACTGCTGGAACTTGGTGACATCTCCATCGAAGTGCGGCAACGTTAACTTCTCCAAATGGATCGGTGCGTTGTGCGACGATGGGGCAGTTTGTGCGGATGTAAGCTGAAGATGTTCTAGCTGCTGTACAGCGTCCAACTGGGCTTGCGCATGTGGCTGTGGGGCATCTATGCGATCATGTCGCTGGGGCGTCATCACTGTTCCTGTCGTCTCCGTAGTGGCGTCCTCACTGATGGAATTAGCGAGTCGATGGATACGAAGAGATTGGTAGTGTTCACTATCCGCTTCCTGGGTACTCTGCAAAGTGCGGAGAAGTGCTTCAGCGTCGGCCTGATGTTGATCCACGCTGTGCTCTTCCTCGAACCTGCTGTACGCCTGCTGATCCGTCGGCGAATTGGAGATGGTGATGTGGTACAGAAGTACATCGCGACACTCACGCAGAAGCGAAAGTGCGAATCTCAGACTCACTATAGAGAACTGTGTGGCTGCCTGACGTTGCTGGAGCTGATGGAGTTGCTCGGCAACTGGGGCATCAGACACGTACGGGGTAAGCAGATCGGAACTTACCTGTTTCCTAATCGCCTCCAGGTCCTCGATGGCTTTGACGACCTTCGGGATATAGGATTCCACGGTAGCCATATCGATCGATAGCACACTAGCTCGAAAACTTGCAGGAGGTAGTAACTGCCAAACCCAAATTCTGAAATTGTGCTACATGAGTATGTTTGACGAGGGTGTGACCACTTGCGGACGTAGCCACACGAAATGGTGAACACAATACACGAGCGAAATGCGCGAAACGATGAACAACAAGCAACGACTGAAACCCCCGGATTTTTATATGGGGATGAGTACCGATGACGAAAGCAGTATCGATCGCAAGGAACCGTCACTAACTAAGCCTAGCCACAAATTGCAAAAGGAGAAAAAGGGATGAGTGCGCAATGCGAGCATGTGGGAAAAATAAATTTAGGGGCGAGACTCTCATCTAACGCAACACAAGGGCTCTTTCGCAGCCTGACAGCGTGTTTCAGGGCAGACAGAGCCGAACCATCTCGATGGCTGCAGAGAAACCTGGCTGTCAGAAGGCACCAGACAGTTCCGGGTAGTAGGAAGGGCGTAGATTGCTGCTGCCATCCAGGTCTACGGGATCACCCTACCCCCGATAGTGGAACTGTGGGTAGTCGCGTACTCGCGTCAACCTAGTCGCGTCAGAACTTGCTGATGAGACGAGAGATGAGTTCTCCAAGGAGCCACAAGGTACAACCAGCACGTATACACTGCGCAAACATGTGGAATGGAGAAATGAGATAAAATTTGCACTGCTGGCTAGGGACACTAATGTGCAAAGCGTGCACATGTGGACTACACAGGTGGGGCTCGATCACAAAAGCTGAACATAGGTTTGCTATCCCTATGCTCAACTCCGGTACGATGCACCATGTCGCGGATTGGGCCCCCAGCTCCCAGCGTCAGTGGTATCTAGGCTCTCCTGCATCGGCGAGGGGAGCCAGGGGTCCGCACCGTGAAATAATGGAACGTAACGTGTGAGGTGGCTACCTGTGTAACGATGCTTGTGCCTGCCACATGGGAACTCCATACACACTTAGGGGCCCTTGCCACCAGCCTGCTTAGTAGCTATTCGTCACTTGGGACTCGACCTATGCTTCCAGCCATCGACAGCTGGGGCGCGTACTCATAACCGTGGCACTTAGCATGCATCGTGCCAGCCTTCCTACAGATGTTACCCACTAGGCTTGATTACGAAATACACGTAAAATGATAACACAATACTCCGGAGCCACAGTCGAGCTGTGGTCACCGCTCCAACACATATCACACCTGCACAATGCCCACCATTTATCCGCAACTTATCCCTACACTCAAACATACAGGATGAGCACAACCGACCAGATGTTAACCTAGGGGTCGGCAATATCGGAAACCCCCCGAGGCGGTGTCGCCGGCGTGTGCCAGGCGCGAGCGCGCTCGGGGTTACCTCGTAGCGAGGGAGCCAGTCCTCCGTGGCGTTGATGGAAGCGACGCGTGAGATGGGGTAGCGCTGATCGATCGATGGCTTGAGACGATTGGAACCCGACCGCTCACTGTGACGGCAGCTGTGAAGAATGACTACGTGACTTATTTAAACGCTGCGCAGGTGAGAGAGGTGAGAGGCGGGACAGCGCGAGGACGGCGTTTTGGGACCCTTCGCGAGGCGGCGGCGACCCTTGAAGGAAGTCGCGAATCCGCGACAGATTCTAAGCTTGTTTAAATCTACCAGAAAAGGCTTTGATTTCCACTGGAGTGGGTGAATGGCTGTGAACTTCTTCATTATGCATTTACAAAGTATGAGTACAACACAGTGAATCTTGAAGGAAATATTGTAGATTAGGAAAATTTCATTCTTTGATCTTCACTGATACAATGCAGAGGTTTAGAAAGAATTTCTAATAACAACTCTCTTCCTTGCAGAAGTGTGAGATTTTTTGATTGCTTTTTTTCAAAAGTATTATAGGCCACATACATAGGCGACAGTTGTTCATCTGGACCTCATTATCGCTTTCTAGTTATAAGAAAGCTGTTATGAGAACGCTTGTGTATTTTGTGGGTCCCTTTAATGTTATGCTTTCGCTAAATCTTATATAAATTTATTTGCTGAATGAGTTCGAATTAAAACGGCGCATGATAGAACAGAATTATTGACGGTAGAACCACATAGCTATGCATCACCATGATCTTCTTGATTTCTATAAAATTGTTCTGGAGCAGATTTCGGTAGGAAATATGGTCACAAAATCTCTCACAAAAGCCTATTGCTACCTAGTAATGAGCTGTGCGGAAGAGAGTACTCAAAAAAGAACTGAAGCAACTTGGAATCTATGTAGTTTATCCGTGGACCAAAAAATACACATGCTTGCAAACTATTTGATGCTCAGCAAGTCCCGTAAAGGATACGTTTTTGTTTTGAAGCTCCTCAGAATCCAGCCGATCGTTATGTGATGAATAAAGAATATGCAACAGAACCTATTTATTTCAGTGTTTGAGTAATGTTCCTCTGACATTGATTGTTATAAAGCAGCTTATATCAGCATCCTCAGTTCTTCATAGCCGGACACTTCTTGCACTTGTACGTTTGGCAAACCCATTTGAAATGGACCTTGACTTGGAAATCATGCTCCGTGAGACGCTCTGAATACCGTGTCAGAATGGTGTTGGAAGTGATCAACGGTGAGAAGATACCCCTTCGATTGTGGCTTCAAAGGCCATGTGGATTATGATTTATTCAACAGTTTCGGGGGCCTGTTTGGTTTGCTCTTTCGAAAAGTAGTCCAGTTTTGAGGGAAAAATCGAAGGAAATGTTGTTAAAACCTGAGATCTCTGTGAAGACTTCATTTTCTAATGTGCATTCTACCGAAGGAGCAACATGAAGAGAAGACGCAGTAAATGAGAAGTCTTTGCAAAAATTACTATCACCTTGCTGATATTTGAAGGATTCCGAATTAACAAACCTTTGATTTTATGTTCCTTCGTGTAGTTCCTCTCATTTATAGTTTGCTGTGTGTGATCCAAACCAATCACATGAAGTAATTCATGTATAATAGTCTTTCGATAAAAGCAACTACAAAGAAAATTTGAACGGTATTTCCACCAAACTGTCTTTCGACTTACGTGTATGACGAATCATAGCTTAACCTCACTCCATTGCTGGTAGGGATATCAAGACGTTCGGGCCTACCAGCAAACCAGGTCAAGCACCTGTTGAAGCAATTATATTCATCACTTTGCAACTACTACACATTTAAATACTACAGTCAACGAAAACTTCGGACAAACTTACCCTTTTGTGCCTAGAAAAATCTTCAAGTACTCGTGTTTGAACTCTTTCGCATCACGCTTTTGAAAGCGTATGCACGTGTTGTTTCCGATTTCTTGCATTGCTGCAAGGATACGTCTTCTCTTGTCAGTCCTCTGATCTAAAAACTTTGTTTCCATTGAGAGATTATAATTTGTTGTCACAATTGTAAATCCATGCTATTATTACTACCACTACTGCGCACCCTGAGGTTCTTGCTACAATGTCAGATTATGGAATATCTGAAACTTCTTGATTAGAAATTGATTACAGCATTTCATGCTCTGAAATGCATTGAGCTTTTCTAACGTCAGTCAGTTTGGATGACGTTTCGTAATGGAGTTTTTCTTTTGAACATTCAATCAACTTAGATGAAAGTTTGTGGCGAAATTAGTAAAACTTCAGTAATAGTTCATGATTATCAGAATCTTGGCTGATCAAGCTCAGTTTGGTAGCATTTTTTTGAACAGATAGAAACGCGGATGATTTTTTTTGTTATCTTACCGTACTTTTTGTCGAGTTCGTATGGTATGATGTAGTTTCCTTGTCCGTCTTCATAGTTAGTCCATAAACGATATGGCTGAAAAAGGCTTTGTATTTAGTGTTGTTGATAAGCTGAATCTGATCTACACTACATCGTCAGCCAATTTACATTAACAGAATAAAACAGTGGATGGGAAGTTTTGCTCTAAAACCCTAGACGCAAAGTTCACGGATGTTCAACGTAGCTGAATTAGCCACTTGTCCAACTTACGTATGTTGTTGCGAAGAAGAAGATGGTGACGAATGCAATGAAAATGATACCGCTCATTGTGGGGACCCTGAAATTTGGTATAGGACGACTTATTCATTCATTTTATGCGGTTTAGAATGTCATTTAAGTACAATACCGCTGGAATTTTCAAGAAAACGGCGCACAGTCATCCGATTCATGTGACATTACCGTCGCGTGGCCATATCTCGCTTCAGAGTGGACGAATCCCTGATTCAGGGGCACCATTCGACTCATCTCAGCGCGGCCCATCTTCTGGTAAAGAGAGGTGCCTGGACATAGTTGGAGGCCAGAGTCCACGAAACCTTTCAAATTTTTTAACGGTAGGCTACTCAGTGTGCTTCTTCATTACACTCACTGTGTTTAAGCGAACACTTCTATATATTAGAGGATGCGCTGTGCCGAATTGAGTCGAATGGTGTCTTTGGTTTTAAAATTCTTGTGTCACATGATCGAGCGACCGTGCATCGTTTTTTTTTTCAAAAAATACGAGCAATATAATGCTTGAGCAGTGGCACAACTGCTAGATATCAATACTTCAACCAGCTCATTTACATCATTATTTTATCAATTGTGTTTGGCGTGGATCCCTAATCCATCTTTCTACCGTGAATCCAGAATCATTTTTTGTTGAGACTTCAAAAAAGCGCTGCTTTTGTGAGGAGAGATTTTGGCACTCATTAGAACATATGGTAAAGTTATGATGAGCCAACAGCTTTTGTGAAACTATTTATGTAAGATAGGTGTGATGCTTTAAAAAATTGAGGAGCGTACAAAAAATGATATTGTGGGGACCTACCTGGTGCTGTTTTTATAGCAGTAAAATTTCATTAAGTTTCTTCAAAATGACAAGATCTGCACTGAATCAGAGTTATCAAGAACAACATAGGGTGTATAAAAAATGTCATTGGCTTACTAAAAAAACCTTTTGTGTTAATAATGGACCTAGGAAGAGCAACAAAGTGTGATGGCTCAGAAGCCGGAAGAACGAAGTGCTGACTATTGCAATCGTCACTTTGTTTGAATTTTACATCATGTTTGAACCCATCGTAAAGAAGACAGATTCATCTGTCTAGTAACCGTTTTCCTACGCATCTTGTGTTGTTGGTGGTGCACGATAAGGTTGAACCTTTATAGCAATTTAAGATATCATCTGCTCCAAAAGCAACTTGCCACTAAAGCGCGAAATTCAAAGCAGATTTTGGGCACGGCATTAGGTTCAAGCAGCCTGAGAGTCTGACGGAGGAGCATATAAAATTACCTATTTTTTGAATGTGAAATTTTGTGGTAGCGCTAAAGCAATGAACCTTATCTTGTTAGCCGTATGGATGGTTTATACAAAAAAGAATGTTTTCCTCTCAAGTTGAATTTATATTTAAGTCAAATGATACATGATAGTGCAATCGACATGTTAATGCGCAATTTTTATCACATGAAAAAGGCACGCATTTATTCATAAAGGAAAATCATGAACACTCATATTTTATGCGAAAGAAAAGTTCTCAACCGGATTTCGAGTTAAGCTTTTTCATCAGATGGTCTCGACAAAAATGGCCTTTGATCTTACTTCATTTTCTAAGCTGCTTCAGCTCCCTGTACGAACAATGCTGAGCTAATAAAGAATCCGTGAGCTCGATTAGAGCTATACTTTGAAGAAAGCGAGATTTATTCGCAACTTAGGTGCTGCAAGGAATGTTTAAATGGGTGCATATCATTTTAGTTTATGGAATATTTGCAAAGTCGAGATATACAGGGTGTCCCAAAAAAATGTACCGAACGTTTGATTGTTAATATCTCTCTTCCCAAAAAGTCTTTTGCCTTGGTTCAGGTACCGCTTTGTAGAGATGGCTTCAACTTAGATTTGCATTATAGAACAAATCACTCATTTCTCTTCATTACTGTAGGATTACGGTAGAAACTTCAGAGGGTTTTAAGCAATGAAAGGTCATATTTTGCCTCAGAAAGGAAACAAAACAGCCTACAAGCTTTTAAGCTAGGCTAATTAGAGTTGCTGATTATAACTGTAAAGTTCCCAACTTGTTATGATGCTTCATTGGAGAGTTATGCCGGGTAAGAGGTGGCGGCCATTTTTTCAATGTTCCAAAAAAGTGCGGTTACACGTTTAAAAAACTTCGTAATCTTGTGAATAGTTGAATATTGAACTCAGCGTCCATAAAAACCCTATTACACAAGCTTTCACATTTTTTTGAAAAATTTTGAAACGGCAGCTTTTTCCACATTGACACCATATGTTTCAATTTTATACCGTAAAATATGGCCTTTCATTGCTTAAAACCCTCTTTGAAGTTTCTACCGTAATCCTACAGTAATGAAGAGAGATAGGTGATTTGTTCTATAATGCAAATCTAAGTTGAAGTCAGCTCTACAAAACGGTACCTGAAGCAAGGCAAAAGACTTCTTGGGAAGAGAGATATTCACGATCAAACGTTCGATACATTTTTTGGGACACCCTATATGATGGAGCATTTTTCCCAGAAAACTACCAATCCCGAGGTCTTGCACCATCGACATGGCAGATTTGGCTGTGACAGTAAGAACTGAGTGCACATAATCGCTTTTGAAATTATTCTGACATGACTATAAAATTCTTGTAAGCTCTGCATATAGCTTTCTGCACCTATGCACTGGTCTTACTGCCCCTCCTGATAATTTTGTCGTTTCATCTATGACAACAGAAAATCACAACAATGACTTGCATCTGCTTCGCTTCTATATTCCTAAGAAGGTTCTTGCTAGGTTTGCGATCACGGCATACATAACTGTCCTTCTATTTTGTTGCTGTGCATGATATTTGGTTGCGCCTACACTGAGCAAACCATGAAGTTCAAAAATCTCATTTATCCATTTGTCAGTTCTCACCCAAAATTGTTCTAGCCACACTTGTTTTTTGGTGTCCAGTTCGTAATTATCCAAAACAATTTTTGGTACATATGTATGCTCAAGGCACTTTGCTACACATTTTTGATTTGAATGTTTCAACTGTTCTCGTCTTTGGAAACGTATATTCAATCACTGTACTTCTTTTCCACTATCTTCTGTAGAGAACTATGTTTTTATTTCGAGCAAGAAATTTCCAAGCCGCGACGGGTGAATGCGTGAATGCCTGTGGAACGTTTCCACCTCTGTCACTTGCAAGAATACGATTTTTAAGCTCCATCATAAGCGCCCATATACTTCTAGCAAGTGTAAGTAAGCACCTTCTTAGCACCGTGAAATAATCAGACAGTTATACACAATCCAAATACTTAAGCTATTATGCTTTCAATACCGTTACACATTTTGCAAAAGTGGAGCCTGGATGTTAAGACGGTTCTGCTTTGAAGCATCCCTTAACAGAATTTTGTTCATTATGTATAATTTGGTGACAAGGCTCATACTGTTTCACCACCTAGATTTGGGATGTCTTCCAATAAATGATGAGGAACATTGTAACGCACCCATTACCTTTGCCAGCAGAATAAGATTGTCATAACCATTGTCAGCACTTGTTCCTTATCAGTTACTAGCTAGCAAACCCGGTCCGCTCGGAACTGTCAATCTATCTTGTGATCAGCATGCTCACTTACCACTTTGTTCCAACTCTCAGCTCTGTAGCTTCAGCTTCGCAAAAAATTGATAGAATCGGTATCGATCGATAGCGATTAGTAACCTACGATACCCACCCGCTTGAAGCATATGTGTGCCAAGTTTGTTCTGGATCTGTTTAAAGGAAAAAATTCTATTCGAAACATACGTACAGACAGACAGACATAATCAAACCGACAAACTCAGTTCATATAGAAGATGATGATTTCCCTACTTTCCATGAAGATCAGCCGAACAGACAAGAGCTCTTCATGAGCTTTCGACTGATACAGAGCAAACTTTAGGTTTTGGTAGTTTAAGAGAAACCTGATAATTTCAAAGACAGAAATCCGAAGCTTCTACGAATCTGTGGGTGAATTTTTCTAAATTTTCTAACAAAGCGCATGCTTTGTTTTCTAACAATATCCTTTATTATGCTGGAGTACGGCTGAACGACAGAGCTTCCTCTAGATCCTTACAAAATCATTTCGAGCTCTATAACAAGGAGGAATATGCAAAAAAGAATTTTTTTCGTCCTTAATTTCGTAAAAGAAAGTCTCAGCGTATCGTTGAGCGCCACAATGACTCCTCAGAGATACTAGAAGCAGTTTTTGCCAGCAGAAGAGCAAGTAATGCTTTACTTTGCGCAATGGCTCACTGAAGGAAAAGAAAATTTCGGTACTTTCCCGTTATCGGGACCTATTTTTTCAAAATGTTCTCATGAGATAGATACGTGCTTCGGATACGAAATTTTTTTTCGTAGATCATGAGGTGTGTTTTCTTGCCACGTGTGCCCACTTCTTTGTTTCGGGAAAATCTAATGTGTTATTAAACATAGGGTGTCATTTTCATAAAGTCAAAGCTCATTCATAAGATTGTTGGTTAAAAAAAATGGAGTCATTATAATAAAAAACATTTTGAATTTACAATATACTAGGTAGGTCAAACAAACTCTTAATAGAAACCTGTTAAACATGCAGTTATCACAGTCAATGGCTGGCTTCGCTTAACATCCGCAATCACTTACTGTTCTTCTACCATCACTTGATACTACTTGTAACGAATATTTTTGAACGGATTCCCGGCATACGCATGTTGCCAAAAACACGGACGCTTATGAAAGCAAATATGTGAAAAATCAAACGCCAGACAGTACGCGCAATTACTTTCTTGTCAAATCTGTACTACACATAAAGTGGGTACTTCACGTATTTCAAGTTTTATAGTTCAAGACTTTCCGGCCAAACCATGTATCACAAACCCAGAGATTCCTGTAGATTACCACACCACTCTTATTTCTTAGTTATTTCAGTTTTTTCTTCTTTTTTTTCAACGGATCACCTCCACTCACAGATCAATGATTGACCAGCAAACAAGCAGCATTCCAACCTTTTCGTTCTTTTCGGGAGTAACAAATTTTTCAAATACGCTTAACTTCCTATATAAGAAAAAATTTTCATTAGGTTTATCAAAAAAGACTAGAGAGCACACAGTGAGAATACTATAGGCAAGTAGTTGGAACTTTGATTCTTCTCAGCTTTTTGAGGCTCCTCTGGAACCGATTGCATTAGCTGGATTAACTTTGAAAGCACTAATACAAAATTGGAAAACCGAGTAAAATAAGAGTTGAGAAATATTAAGCAGTCTGCTCACTTATATTTGTGATAATATCATTTCCACTCTGAACATACAAATTACATAATACTGATAAAACTGTAGCAAAAAGGCAAATCATCTCGGATGTATATTCCCTTTTTACTGTAATGCTCAAAGAAATGTTGGATTCCGGAATTTTGGAGCATTGCAATGGCAGGCCAATTAGTCTATCCGTAAAGTCTAAAGCGAAAAAGAGCGTCTAGAAAGCGTGGCATCCACGCATCCACTCTGAATGTCTTACGGACCCCGCCCCTCGTTGCGGACTCCGCCCACTGACAAGTATTACAGCGAATGCTGACACGGAGAGCTTTTAAAAAAGGTCATTATCAGGGTTGAGCAAGAGGTCAGGCACAAGCCCTTCGAAAACGACCCCCCCCCCCCCTATGAAAGCCCTCAAACGACCCCTCCGCTTCATATCCAGGTGCTCGGGGTGTTATATTTTGAAGAAGACCAGCCTTCTCAGCAGGTTTCTTTTTTTTACAGTCTGTAGGTCCGACTTTCTGCGATTGCACACCACACGAAAGTTGACGGCAAGTTTTTGGATCTAGATAGCCCTCTTTTCAGAGCTACAATTTTCACAGAGGTGGATTTTTTGGCTTCAAATTTTCAACATAGCAAGAAGAGGATTTGCGTTTAATACTCATTTCAAAAAAGGGGCGATTTTTGAGCACTGAAGGCAAGTTAATGGGGTCAGGCGCAACCCCTCAAAAGCTCAGGCGGCCTGACCTTTTGAGGGGTTGCGCCTGACCCCATTAACTTTATTTCCGAAGAAGCTTTTCCACGCAAGTTTTGAATGATTCGCTAGCTCGACCCTCGAAGATTTCATAGTAAGTGTTTGAGCTTGGTTCGACTTGTTTCGGCCTTGTGCTAATCCGAGGAGTTGAAGCACTCAATGTGAAAAACGTGCTGGTTGGAATTTTGGCAGCACTTCTTACTTCACTGTTTGAAAGCGAAATGAAGCCTGATTTGCAGCATAGACTTGTACTGAACATCACTTTGTTATGAATATAGAAAAGCTTACATCTTTCGTTTTTGAAGCCAAGTTAATCATGTTTGAAAATCACGTCCTTGGACGTTGAGAAATGCTGGAAACTGCAGAGAGAATGGTTTGTAGAGCCCATAGAGGTAATCTGACATGCTGATTACGGAAATGATACCATTGCACACAGCAAGCTTCCTTGTCGACCTCATGGTATGTCAAGGTAAAAGGTGAAAATTGAATTTCGGCTGAAACTTTGACTGTGTAAACAATCAGTATGCTATCGAACATCTTTAGGACCGTCATTCCTTCAGTACTGGCGATTGCTATATCCACCGGACTAGCGCATTTCTTCTTCACGTCGTAGTATCTCCCTTACTGAACAAATTCGGTTCTAAATTACGACCCCCCACCTCCCCCCTTCAGTCTTACCCTCAATACGACCCGCAGCTCGGGCGCGCCTGACCCCACGCTCGGCCCTGGTCATTATCCATGCGCTGAAAAGATCAAATATGGGTTCAGCATGGCGAGAAGGCTCCTGCAATGTAAAAATCCGGAAGAGATTTTTCCGAGACACTGCCTCCAAGGGCTCTGGCTTCTTCTGCGTCTCTCGTATCCTTCTGAGCCACGAAAAAATTACAAAACACTATTTGAAAAAATAAATTGCAAAATCGCTTTATCTCAAGAGAAATAAGCCTGCCAATCAATCTTGGCCTTGGTACAAAAGCTGACATAAGTTCACACGTTCATTTAAATTCGCAGAAATCATGATATTCCGAGTTCAAGCCATCCCAGCCATGATTATCTATGAAGGAGATCTGTTCATGGTTATCAAAATAGTAAAAGGAGCTGAGGAGAAATGAAATTAAATATTATATTATATTAAATATTCATAAATTTTTCGCAACAAGTAATTTGCAGATAAGTTTTCATTAGACCACTTTCAGTTCCTGAACTTCTTTGTAACAGATTTGTAGCGATGATAGCTGCATAAAAAGATTTAATTTTTGATCAATGTGTGATGGTTCATTTTAACTCTTCATGTCCGAAGAGAACATCCTGAGTAATTGAAGGGTGAACGCCACCATTACCAAAACCGTGGTCTTGATTAGAAATATTATGGATCCACTCTTCCAAACTTTGCAAATACCGACGGTAGCCTTCCTCAGTGCGAGGATCGTGCGGTGGTTTGAATCTCCAATCAACGCGATTATCGAGATCCTCACCCGGGATTTCGTTCTCGTACTGCTCATCCTCAGGATCTTCTGGCCAGGTCACATTGATTTCCTCAAAGCCACCGCCTTCCACCGGTTTCCACCATTGAAATCTCTCCCTATAGCGATCATCATCCTCTTCAATTGAATTCGAATTTTCCTCTTTCTCCTCTAGCGAGTTAGCATTCTCCTCGCTTTGTCCTTCTCCATAACCAAAATACTCTCCAAAAACCTCCCATATGTTTCTTGAACGAACAGTGCCAGTGAGAAAAACGATCTTAAAAAAGTTGGTTAGTAAATTGTGAACTTCTTTTTTCAAGTTTGTGTGCGACGTTCTGAATGATAATGGGGTACATAACTGCTTCCAAATTGCTAAGCAGGGAATAGTCACAATAATCCAGCCATACCAAACATGCTGTATGTCATCGGAGTCGTCTTGAAACGCTGATCACATATGGAAAGAATAAAAAACAAAAAAAATGAAAAATATGAAAACGTAAAAATTCAAATAAAATTAAAATAAAAAAACATTTTCATCTGCCAAGCGACTACCTGGGAGGAGTTATGAGAGTTTGAACGTGCGATTTGTCAAGTGTTCTGTGGCGCATGTTCCACAAAATAGGTTTCAAAAACACTTATTTAGTTCCTTGATGAATGTGCTTCTTCCTTGTAAATGAAGTAACAATAGCTACTGTAAATCCGCGCCAAGGGCTGCCTTTTAAGGTTGCATACTCGAAAAATTCGAAAAATTTCTCATATTTGAACGCTCATAACTCCTCCCAGATAATCGCTTGGCAGATAAAATATATATATATATATACATATTTGAAATCAGCGTTTTAAGGCGAGTTTGATGATATACAGATTATTTGCAATGGCTGAATTAAGCTCTGACCACTTCCTCGTAAGCTCCTAGCATCCTAATTTCCAAATCTTCTATATAAATAAAAACAGTATAGAAAATAGTGTTCAATAGGAAACTTACCGTTAGCAATGATGGCTTCATTTTCAGCTTTTGCAATTGCTTTAATACTAACGAAGTCACTAAAAATAGGGAGGCATGTTCCAGCAAAGTTGAGCTATTCACTCATCATAGAGGCACATTTATTTCAAGTTATATTCATAGAGTACATTCGACTTGGAAAGGTAGTCGCAAATGCAATTTCAAGCGCAACTCCTTTTAAATTTGTCCCATTATCTGAATTTTGTGCTACAAGTGCAGTAGCTAATGGAGTCATAAACTCCACATGCTCTATTTTGAAGGAACAATGAAAGATATTGCTTGAATTGTACTTGAATTATCAACGCCAAAAGCCTAAGCTTCTAAGCGTATGATAAAGAGTAATGATAAAAATAAGTTAAGGGATCAGAGGGTCAGGCACAAGGCTACGAAGGCTTAGGCAGCCTAACTTTTTGAGGGATTGTTCCTGATCCTGTTAACTTTATCTCCAATAGAGGTTTTTTCACCCAAGTTTTATGTGACACGCTAGCACAAATCTCGAAGATTCTACGTAGGTCTTTCAGTAGGTCCATTTAGATCAAAATCAGTTATTAAAATGCGAACTTGTAATGTGCTGTGACGAAAATCGGGCGTACTGATCTAAACTTTGAAAACTTTTCAAGAACAAGCTGTTGTCTTTCAGAATGTCATAATCTGAGTTTCTGGAGGTAACGAGAATATAGAAGAGATCGTTTGAGGGTTTTGAAGTAGGGGGGGGGGGTAAGTCCCCTCTTGCCGATTTTTGAACAACTCGAATTTTTGAACCCCAAAATATTTTCCAGCTGCTTTGATACTGAGGAAATTTAATAAAAAGGAGACATGTTCCAGCAGCAATGAGTCATTCAGTCATCTTAAAGCATTATTTTAAGCTAAGTTTGTAGAGTATGTCCATTGCAAAAGTAAAATTTGTTTTTTGAGGCAGCTGCTTCTTTGAATTTATCTGAATTCTGTCTGTGCTACTTTGCTGTTTAGTGCGCATGTTAGCTTATCAGGATGCCTCAAAGCGGCCTTCAATTCCGCTAAGTTCGAATGGAGAAAAATAGAATAATTCGAGAGGTCTTACTGAATGCTTTATCGTAAAGGCTCAGTAGATTCCATGACTATTACTCGAAATGAACAAGAGGCTCATAGCCCCTTAACCGGTTGTTTGTTGAAGCAGATTGACTTGTAATGCTTCTAAAGGAAAAAATGGAAAAAATGCAGTGATCATTTTTCTTTGAGTACGATTAATTGTCGAGAGTGGGGAAAACTTTTCATAAAATTTTTTGAAAGCAGCCAATGCGCTAATGTTCCAAAAAACTAATTAGTTTGATGCTATTGTCCAGCTTTCAGTACTGGCCTATTGAAATTTTTTATATGCGCACTATACAGCAATTTTCAGAGAGGTCTGTTAACAAGAATGCAAATTACTCTGATTTCTAGAGTTTTTTACAACATCGTTCAGCATGTATTAGTAAAGTGGGGGAGCAATCTTCATTCGAATACTTTTCCAAATTGATGACTTAAAAGTGGCTCTACACTTACATATAAATAAATATGTATCAGTCCTGGTGGTATGGATTTTCAGATAGAGTCTTTATTGTGAGTGCAACGTTGGATGATCTGCATGAGAGATTATATTTCACTCCTTGATAAAATAAAATTTCCAAAGAAAAATCCAGTTCCTTTTCAAACATGGCATAATCCTCATTGTATTCTTGTAGAATAGAACCGAAGAATCAGCAAAATCCATGTTTTTCAACAACGAAATGAATTTGATTGTAGTCATACTTAAGAAAGTCTGCTTTGATTACTTGACTACAAACTCTGTAAAAAAATACATTTTTTCTAGATCTAGGAAGCTCATCTACCTTCGCAATGAATATCGAACAATTGGAGACATTTGAGAAGCTGTATCCAAATTGTGAATAGAAAATATGTTCAACTTCAAAATTTAGCGCAAGTGGTCGCAACCGTTGCATTTTCAAGCAAATTTCCCGCTTCAGCGTTACAATATAAGAGATGGTTAGGATGCGTTGGTGATGTTTTCCTATAGCACCCGCCGTACTTGGTCCACTTGGTCCGCTTAATCCGCTTCGTGCAAAACGCGCACTCAGCAGTTTGTCATTTGGCGCCGCGTAGGTAGAAAGGAATCTCGTATAGTTGAGCAAATTCGCTGTACGCGACGCCAAATGACAGACTGCTGAGTGCGCGCGTTTTGCACGAAACGGATCAAGCGGATTAAGCGGAGGACCAAGTATGCCGGGTGCCTTTCTGAAGATAACAATGCAGCAATCCGACGACAACGACATATCTCAAGATTCAACTCTTTTAATTTCGCAGTACAACCGCGTAATTTGGTAGAGATTGCATGGAACATGAGCTGGTAGGTGTTATTTCAGAAATTTTCTCAGGTGCTAGTAAATTACGGTACATTTTTGTGGATGGAGAAACCTCAAATTTAGGCTTTACTCTGGAGCAATAAACTGCGTACTTTGCCAAGTGGTTTGACTCTATAACTTTTTACGTCGCCCTCATTGTTCAAATCAACTTTCATCCAGCTCCACGAGTTGACCGAAATTCGAAATTTCTGGATTTTCTCACGGTAGGCTAAGCAGGGACACTGAGTGAGCTACCGTAGGCATAAATCTATGAAATATAACTGCCTCCGCGAACCCAACTATGCAAACGGGCATTTTTATAATAAATAAGAAGATGCAATTGCCGAAGTGAGGAATGGTCTTGGTTTCAGAATTCATCCGCTTTGAACCTAGATATGGCAACGCGACTCGAATTCAGTTCACATCGGTGGAGTTAGTTAGTAACTCTCTTTCCACTTCTGTGGCATATAATAAATCAGTCAAACCCGCGTCATCCGGATTAAAATGTCATGTGAGCATTGATATGTACTTGCTTTAGTATCAATTGGCGTATTCTGCTGTCATCTATCCTTTCATAAATCCTTTATACATAACCTTGATAGTTCATGTAGAGTAGTAAATTTCAAAAAATTTTCGTATCCAGCCCATTTACTTATCCTTCCGTTTCCTGTCACTGATTTCTTTACAATAGGTGCGATTCAGTAGTAAGAACCACTAAAGAATTACGATCAGACAGTGAGTATCCTTTGATGAAGTAAGCTTTCAAACATATGTTCTAAGAGGCAAAAACCTCCAAAATTTTGAACTGATTTTCACTCTGCAGTCTTCTATCGGCAAAAAATGTGAAATGAGAAGTTTGAGCATATGGAAGCCGTGAAACCATCTTTGATAGACTTTCAGCAAATCTGTTAAATTCTGCCCATACTGGAATTCTACCTCGGTGAGATTGGGAAGGGGAAGGGCATAGGGAGAAATCAGGATTTTGGATAAAGCTGGAACTAAGTCATATTCTCTTGAACGCTTTTTACCCTAAAACCAAAAAGATTGTGAGAAAAGTTGTCGTAGCGGCAAATGCATCCTTGAGAGATTTTTTTTACGAAGAATGTTGACTTGCAGCAAATATACAATTATGCCACTGCTGTGAAACATTTGTACAGTTTTGCAGTTTGATAGCTGAAATACGCGGCTCTACTTGATCTTTGCCAGCAAAACACGATAGAACATCATCAGTAAGTTTTTATCATATTTTAGTGGCAAGGAACTAGTTTTAGAAAGAAAGTGGTTCAGTTCCCCTCCAGTACGATATCGAATCCGGTAAGAATCTGCGCGAAATTCCTGCCCAAATTATGTTCAGATACTTCCACAGCTGACCATCTTCCAAGTTGTTAGGAATGTGTAGGATGTCCCAAAAAGATGTGCCTACTGTTTGATTGCTAATAAATCTCTTGTTATGAAGTATTTCGAGAAGCTCTATGTACCGTTTTGAAGAGCTGGCTTCAACTTTAATTTGCTTATGGAACGAATTAAAAATCTATCTTCATTACTATAAGAGCATGGTAGGAACTGGTGTAGGAGCTTTGAGCTCTTTTGGTTCTGGTTCAGGGGTGAGTTATGACCTTGTTTACTCAAACTCCTCCTCGAAGTTCCTACCGTAATCCTACTGTATTGAAGAAGATTTTTGATTCGCACCATACTGTGAATCCAAGTTAAAGCCAGCTCTACAAAATGGTGAAAGCTTCTCGAGAGACTTTATTACAGGAGAGTTATTAACAATCAAACAGTAGGCACATCTTTTTTGGGACATCTTGTATTGTTCAGCAGATATCGCGGAAAAAATTGTTGGTCGACTGATGATTAATAATTAATAATCAACGTTTCCTTCTGTATATGTGGATATCGCGTGTATCGTATTTTTCAATATAATTTGATTCTGATCGTGAGAAATTCCTGAGCTGGATGTGCATCATATGGGCTCTGTAATAGACAATTTATTTACCTCTCCTCTAATGGAAAGTTTGAAAATTGCTTGAAACAAAGCAATTCAATTCCAAAGCAGTTTTTCGTGAATGCTACGAAAACCATCGTTATCCTCTCTTCATTCTCCTCGTATATTGTGGAGTACGAATGCTGAGAGTACAGCCAGAAATTTAGCTACCCCAGCTATGTACGAAACACATTAGCGTCGCCTGAAATTGCCTTATATTAAAGTTGAACCTAAGAGGGAGAGAAATAAACACTATTTACCATAAAAATTGTTCCCCAAAGCATTCTGCTGCCAGCAACGCCCATTTGACTCTCACTGAAATGAAAACCAGACTACACCACGTACTCTTTTTCGTGCGGATGAAAATAAAGTGCCGATCTCATCACTTTCAAAGAAGACTAACCAGATAAGAGAGCAAAATGGAAAATGCCGTGCTTACTTCTACCAGAATAATGTTTTGCCTCACTTCAACAGCTTTATGTAGTGGAAGCTTCAAAAATAAGGGATAGCATTAGCTTTACGATGCTAAAATAACTGCACTACATACTTATGCGTTGACCAAGCTCTACTATAAAGCCACCACACATATAGTGCTGGCCAAAATTATAGGTCCACTCTAAAAAATGCCATAACTCACTCTGTTGTGAATGAAATTTTCCAAAATTTGGTACAGACGTGTGTTTACCAGCCTACTATCAGTCTTCAAAACGGTTCTCGTTTTCGTTTGATTATTCAAGAAAAAATTAGAAAATTTTGAAAAAAGCAGGCTTGAAGGCTGGCCAAAATTATAGGTCCACCTGGAGTTTTTACTGATTAAAGCACTTCTTAGCTCCCGAATTTTTTTAGGTAGGCACACATCTAAAAACGTTAAATAGCTGCTTTAGTCAAGCTGTATCATACCTCCACAAAGGGCGGATTATCTGCTTTTTTCCTTGAAGATGCTCTCACATGTATTTCGCTCCACAAATCTGCGTTGAGTGAGAAATTTTGCAGTTTCTCAGTTGGATCGGAAGGGATAAGGTTTTATCTATCTTCTGGATGCTTTTTGACGTGAGCATTGAGGAAAAAATCCGACTTTTTGCTGCTGAAGCAAATCTGACATTGACAGTACTGCAATCCTGAACTCAAATTTCTGCCTTCAAACTTCTTTTACAACGTTCTCAGAAGCATTGAGTATAGTAAAGGCATTGTTTCTATGAAGGGGAGTCCGTATACCATAGTTACAACTTTCTAGAGATCCTAGCATTCGAGTATAATTTCTGAAATCACTCTGCAGAAACTGATTACGACAAGCACCAAAGCTACTTGTGGCTCCGACCAAAATTTTCAAGAATCATGTGCTAACATACACTACAAGCTGTATCCACTATCTAGTAAATAATTACTGTCAATAAGGAAGGTAGCACTTGGAAAGCTATTTTGGATCGCGTAACACCATTATTACGTTGCACACACAACTCATGTTTCGAAAAAGAAGCAGGCAGCTTTGTGGACACTTGCGAGCAGCTTTATTCTTGTGTAAAAAATGCTTCTACAATATCTTGAGGTTATAATGACAATGCATAAAGGGTTTAGGGCAGAAACTGAGGCTTACTCTGCCGATTAAGCCGATGTCAGATTTGCTCCAGCAGCAAAAAGTCGGATTTTTTCCTCAATGCTCACGTCAAAAAGCATCCAGAAGATAGATGAAACTCCGTCCCTTCCGATCCAGCTGAGAAACTGCAGAATTTCTTACTCAACGCAGGTTTGTGGAGCGAAATACATGTGAGTGCATCTTCTATGCAAAAAAGCAGATAATCAATTCTTTTTGGAGGTGTGACACAGCTTGACCAATGCAGCTGTTTAACGTTTTTGGATGTGTGCCTACCTAAAAAAATTCGGGAGCTAAGAAGTGCTTTAATCAGTAAAAACTCCAGGTGGACCTATAATTTTGGCCAGCCTTCAAGCCTGCTTTTTTCAAAATTTTCTAATTTTTTCTTGAATAATCAAACGAAAACGAGAACCGTTTTGAAGACTGATAGTAGACTGGTAAACACACGTCTGTACCAAATTTTGGAAAATTTCATTCACAACAGAGTGAGTTATGGCATTTTTTAAAGTGGACCTATAATTTTGGCCAGCACTGTATTAGCATGTCAGAACAATATACTTCCTGGCAGTTCTTCATAAACAAAGTACTTCCCTTCATTGTCACGAAATCTAATGCATTTACAAGTAGAGAATTTATGCCCAAGAATAGAATAATTAGCCTTTTGTATTGCTTGCTCGAAAATCATAACTTTTCATAGAGATGTTCAATCAGCACAAACTTTGCACAGTTGAAAAGAGCAGGTAACAGAACCTACAATATTGACTGCTCCTATTTTTGTTGTAAGATTCCGATTTTTTATAACCCTACACAGAAAATTCGAAATTTGACTAATTTTATTCTATCGCTCCTATCTATGAAAAGATAATCATTAGTAGGCAGCTAAGACGTCATTATACAGATCATAACTTACTCGTTCATATAAAAATCAAAGCAGTCAAATCTGAAAAATTGAGAAGTTATGAGTTTTCGGAAATGGTGCGAACGAACTTTCGGGAACTCTTGTCTTTTGGCTACAAATAGAGAAAAAAATTACAATTTTTTCCATTAATAGGCCTAGAAAAGACACCGCGATATTTCGAGTCTTAAGATATATATATTAGACAAGCACAACCTCTAGCACTGTGCGCTATTCAAGAAACTCCGGTACTATAAAAAAGGTGCTGCAATTCTAGGGTGCAGTATAGGTATTCGCCAGTGGCGTACCCAGGATTTCGGCTCGGGGGGGGGCGCGACAAAAATTTTTTTCTAAAGAAGGTGCGTGGCGTTAGCCACGCACTCCGAAAAAAATTTTGGGGTGCTTCTCAAAATTTTTCCGGGTCCCCGACCCCTAAAATCTGGAAAAAGGGGGCGTGGCGTCAGCCACGCCCCCGAAAAAAAAATTTTTATAAGGCTAAAATGAATTTTTAAAAAATTTTAAAAATTATTTTAATTATTTATAAGTAAAAACAAGTCACTTACACATTTTTATAACCCATGTAAGTAACTTTCAAAAATTTCGCGACCCGTTCTCGGGGGGGGCGCGCGCCCCCCCCCGCCCCCCCCTCGGTACGCCACTGGTATTCGCAGCCATTGTATTTTCATGCAAATTTCCTGTTTCAAGGTCACTACCTAAGAGATGGTCACAATGTCCCGCTGTTCGCTCAATCTTGCCTCTTTGGTAGGGAATAGTAGCTGCTCGAGGGGACGTTGTACTTTTATCATTCAGCCCCTAAACTTCGCGTTATTTATGATAAAACTTTTATAGAATGTAAGTTGAAAATGTTACTTCAAAGCAGTTTCTCATACACTGTCAAGAGTCGCTTTACTAACATAAGTACTTTCCTTGTAAGTTAGGTTGTAGATTTTTTTGCGAAATAAAAAAAACTCAGAAAGTTGAAAACTATCAAAACACTAACATTTATTAAGATGGACGAAGCCAAACCTTCGATACGTAGAGCCCGCACTGTGGCAACTTTGGTAAAGACCAAGTTGGGTGGCAGCAACGAATTTATTCACAGGGAATAGTGACGAACAGCGACTGGACGATAGTGACGACTCCAGAACTTGGTATCCAGGCTCTTTTATACAGCCAAATTGGGCGTGTATAGCCTGGATGCCAACTTCTGGCCAGGAATGCTATCAATGCAGTAGAGTTTCGCCTACTTGAAAGTAGGCGCCGCCGAGTGCATTATCAAGGGCCATGAGGGTGACCCGGCGGCTAAACAGGTGCATGGACAACCTACAACTTGTCCATGACAGAATGGATACATTCACATAATCGAAGACAGTCGTTAATAAATAATATTAACGACACTGGGGGCGGGGCGGAAGGAGTGCATGATGCACGATATATATTTCTACTGTAGAATGGAGAAGTGTATGAAATGTGTCAACAATGGAACTAGCGAACAAAATTTTATTAGAAAAATAGAAGCAAGGTAATAAAATAGCACATGAAAAAAAAAGAATTTTTTTTTCAGTACGATAATGGGTGATGAGTGTAAACAAAAAAGGTACCACATGAGGAAAAAAAATCTTTTCAGAATATTAATACATTAATGCAACAACTAACAACAAATCAAGTATGGAATACAAAATCGATCTACTGGGCGGGATTTGCATGAATGCAGTGGCATCTTTTGCAGATGCCCTTTTTCTTGTATACCTTGCGTACACGATCGGGGTGCATACGTTTCTTGCCACGGCATTGTGATGCATGATGCCCCGCGAAGTAGCAGACATCACAATACTGTGGAGTTTCCACGGGAGGACATCCATTGGGCGGTGTTGGCATCGTTGGAAGCGGACGCTGCTTCTCCTCGACTATTTCGATCTTGTTTGCGATGCCGTCCATCTGCTGGGTCAAAACGCGGAGCTTGTCCTCGATCCTATTTAGACGGTGTTCATTGCTCTTCTGAGTATCCAGGATGACGTGGAACATGTCCATCACATCTTTGCTGGAGACATAGCCCCGATGTTCTTGCGATAGCACCAAGGGACGCAGGGTCACCTTGGGCTTTGGAACGAGCGCCGCACTTCTGTCTGGAATGAGAACAGTGTCGAGCTTGGTAATTTTTACCTGGGGCTCTCCATTCTCTTCCGGGTTCACGGTAGGATTGGGGGACGTGGTTTCCGGTCTTCTCTTCTTCGGGGTGGATGCCAGACGTCGCACGGCTTTGGGTGGACGCTGTTTCTTCGCAGTGGGCGGCTTCGAGCATTGGGTAGTCGTTTGATGAGCAGCAAGCCGATCCATTTCCATGCCAATTGATAAGTCCAGTAGGTCCTCTTCGTCCGAAACGTGGATTCGAGCAGCCATATTTGATGTGAGCAGTAGAAGTTGGGTGTGCATGGAAGTGCTGCCTTTTTATACGAAGATGTGGTTCGACCTAGGCATCGTAAATTTGCCGGTGAGGTCTTTGGAGTGGTTCGACATTCTTCCTGGCAAAATGTCGCGGGACAGAATTATTGCTTTGTACATCACCGCTTGCAATTAGGCGGACTGCCAGGCTATGATGCCTGAGGGGACTAGCGAGAGTGCAGATATTATGTACATGTGAGTGTGCTGCATTATGTTATGTCCTAGAAGAACATACATTTGCGAAACAGAGCAGGTCCACAGATCAGTGTGGCAGCTATTGACAATGCTACTACAGCTGCTGCTGTAAGCGAAGTGGTCCACCAGTGAGACATAACCTGAGCTATGTTGCTGAGGTCAGGAATGTTGATTAAGTCCACGTAATTGGCCGTTTCGATGCTAGCGTGTTCCAAATCGTCTTTCCATATGGAGTGGTAATAAAGCGATCCGATGATGTGCAAATCATGTTTTTGTGATCCGCACTGGGTGCTACATTGTGCAGCATAGTTGGCGGTATTGGAACTGATTAGTACGGTCGTATTAGTTGCTTTCGGTCCGCAATCTATCGTGTAGTGATGATCAGTGCAGGCAACTTCCGCAATTGTCCTGATTTTGGAAGTGCATGTGAAGACCAGTCTTGCTCCTTGGAGGCAGTTGTAGCAGCCTTTCGCTTCGGAGGCGTGGATCTCGCATTTGGTGGGTATGATAACCGTAGCAGTTTTCCATCTGGCTTCAGTCGATAAGGAAACTTCTGCGATGGAGGTGTGGCTTACAACCGTTACTGGATTTTCGTCGGCTTCCAGAGAAAATTCTGAGTTGTGCAGGGGTAGCATAGTATCCAAGGAGTCCATCCTTTCTGTGATGTTGACATTGGCACAGTAGCAAACAGCGAGTGTGGATCTTGAGGTGCATTTGCACGTATCCATGACACGGCACTTTGTTAAATTTTTTGCGACCTCTGATGTGCTGCACTTGACTGCGAACGTGTCGTCGGACGGGGATATCATGGTCTGCGGGTTGGTACGGTTGTACACCTGGACGAACTTCCGATCCAGGATGGAAATTGTGGGAGTCGTAATGAAGTCAAGGGTAAAGTTCATCTTGTCCATGCTCACTGTTTCTTGCGGTAATATGTCCATGTTTGTCACCACTTCCTTGCCCGTAACGAAGGTTAATCGAGCTCGTATTCGTGCTTTTTCATTCCACACAGGACAGGAAAAGACTTTGTAGATGAGGTCGTCCTTCGGTTTTGAGTAGGTACGGGAAAAAAGACAGCCTGGCATTGGTAAGAGGCACCCACAACCAATTCCTCCACACGATTCTTGGCATCGTGTCACTCCAGGAAGGTGGTATGAGCCGTTTAATTCCGGAACGAACGAGTTTTGTGCGATTGTGCGACATCTTTGTTGCGTGCAACTGCCGGCTTGAGCGCATCGTTTGGAAGAGACTGTTATAAGTTCAGCGTTTCTGGTGAAGAAGTGAGTGACAGGTATGCACTCAAATCTTATGCTGTCGAGTTGTATATGTAATGTCGCGATCAGTTCTCCTTTGTACATGATCTTCATGCAAACTTCGCGTTTGAAGCTGCTCATTGCGAAGGTATGCTCCTCGACATTCCTACATCTTGAATCTCCAAGAAAGTCGGTGCAAATCAGATCCTTGGTGTTGAGAACATGGGTGTGCTGACAGCAACTTGTTACAGCCAGTATTGAAAGCGAGAAGATGAGCTTGGATCTTGTCAAATGACCGCCGGAAGTTTTCCTTGGACGTGCTTGCGTATCGGTATTCGAATGCATTTCCACATTTTCGGCTTGCTCTGTTGTCGTGGAATCCATCGTTGTATGCTTCGAGTCTTTGAGCGAATGGCATCTTTGTTTGAGCATGACTGCTGCACGTGCCACCAGATATGTTGAGATGGTGGTGAATAGTGTAATGATGTAAATGATCGTAGCTATCACTGCGATGGTTGTTTTCGGAAAACAGCGTGGGTTGCCGAGTAGAAGGGGACAGAATGTGCAATGTATGGAATTGCACACTGATTGCTCTGGGCACATCACTTCCTCTTCGTATAGTGTGGTATTCATGATAGCACGCCATTTCACGGAATATGGGTTAGTTAGCTGATGTGGCGGTAGATATCTTTGTATGGGTTGCTGATCCGTGTGTATGCTCTGACAATGAATGCGATTGACACATACTTCGCTCCTGCTGTTTACGTCCGGAATCGACGATAAGTTGAGTATGAATCCAGTGTTCGTGCAGTTCAGCACTTGTCCTTGTGCAGAATGTACAATGCTGCATGCTGTCAAGGCTAGTAAAATGCTGAGCGCATTCCATAAACGACGTTTCGGCAATACCACGTTTTCGTTATAATTGATGGGTTTTTTAGCCTTTCTTTCAAGAGGTTTGCGTTGTGGTAGAGCTTGTATGCTACTCTGAGGTTCCTCATTGTCGTGTGAAGTGCTTGCCATTGCGTTCGAATCCATTGTGGCACGAATTTCCAATGGAATGAGGCGATTGATGGGACGCTGTACGCATCTCCCAGTTCCGATTTTAAGTACGGCGCTTCGTACTTCTCCATCTTTGCTTTTGACTAAGTCCTCGATCACACCCATTGGCCAGTGGTCTCTGGATGTCTTCAGATCATCATCGATAAGCACGATGTCGCCAATGCATGGATTATTTTTCGATGATTTGTAATTGCTTCCATAGAGTACGTGCCGTTCGCGCAGCTCCAAAAGATATTCTGTTTTCCATTTGTCCCAGAACTTGTTGATAAGTTTTTCTGCATCAGAAATGGCCTTCTTTGCGTCCAATTGCGTTGAAATTTCTGGGGTAGGTTGGTATGAAGGGTCTTCCTGATGTTGTTCGTCTTGTCGTATAACTTCTATGCCATGTCGAATGTTCTTGTAGACAAAGTCGATTGGGCGAAGTACTTCTTCGATGTCAGCACCTTCTCCGATTGTCGTTAATGGTCGTGAATTTACGGCAGCTTCAATCTCGCAAAGGACTGTGGAAAAAATTTCTTCTGAGATCTTTCGTCTTCCTATCGTTTTGAGCAAGGCCCTTTTGACTGTCCCGACCATTCTTTCCCATGCTCCTCCCATCCATGGAGAAGCTGGTGGAATGAAGTTCCATTGAATGTTGTGTTTGGCAAGAAAGAGTGATACTGGTGAGCATGAGGGCGGATCATCGCGCCGAAGGATGGTTTCCGTAAGGCGAAAATTGGTGCCGTTGTCGCTTATTATCCTCAGCGGAACACCTCTTCTTGCCGTGAAGCGCTTGAAAACTAACAGGAAATTTCTTGCTGACAAGTCTTTGGCTACTTCTAGGTGTATCATTCGTGTCACCAAGCAGGTAAATAGAGCGACATATCGTTTTCCGTCCTCATCACTTGCTTCTTTGATGGTGATTGGTCCCATGAAATCCACTCCAGTGAAACTGAAAGGTGGCGACTGTGTGACCCTTTCGGAAGGTAGTGGTCCCATGTGTGGGTATTTGTAAGGGACCGCATTATAGCGTTGACAGATGACGCAGTTACGGACAATCTTTTTGCAGAGAGTTTTGTCTGCTGGGATCCAGAATTTCTTGCGGAGAGCGTTGACTAGCTGGTTGACACCGCAATGAAACAAGTCGTTATGTAGCTGCGCCGCAATTCTAGCATTCAGTAGTCCTTTGCGGGGAAGGTAGATTGGATTGATGGTGTCGTAGTTCAAATCCGAGTTTTGCAAGCGACCAAATTTTCTAGTAATTCCATATAGGTCTTCCTTGATGGTCTTGTTTTTGCAGCTGTTTATGAAGGATTGCAGATCAGACTGCTGTTGCTCTTCTCGAAGTAGGTGGCGTTCTGCGATTATCATCTCTTGGGCATTCGGAATGCCGCCGAACGTTTCGCAGTGCTCGTCAAGTTGGTAGAGTTTGCCTTTGCTGATTTTGCGTACAAATCGTAAGGAATAGGCAACAATCCTTTTGAGCTTGTCATAGCTACTGACTGCTTCTGTAGGCCAGATTCTTGGTTGCCTTGTCAGGGTGTTGAGAGGTGTTACCATAGTGGCAATTATTGCGAGAGAGTCTTCTTCTTCTGCTTGACTTAGCTGTTCTACCTGACGAACAGGCCAATGTTGCTCTTGCTCATTGAGCCATCGAGGTCCTTTGAACCATACGTGATCATTAGCTTCTGCTTGTGAAAGACCGCGGGTTGCATGATCAGCAACATTCTCTTCTGTGGGAACATGGTAGATTTGGACATGCCGGTATTGTTCAAGACGTTCTCTAGTCAGCTGTATCTTCTGTGTCAAGTTGGTAACAAGAGAAGGAAGTCGTTTTTTGGAGTGGATCCAGGCGAGCGCTATGGTAGAGTCGCTGAACAGGTTGATTTTATCGAACTTCAGTCCGCTCTTGGTTACAATGTATTCCAGCAAATTCATTCCGATAAATATGGCTAGCAGTTCGAGCTTTGGTATTGTTTGAGTTGTTCCGATGGGAGCCACTTTTGACTTTGCGCAGTATAGTCTTGTATAGCGCCCTCCAGCTTGTGTATCCGTTGTAATGTAAGCAACGCAAGCATAGACTCTTTTCGAGCTGTCGACGAACATTGAAAGTGTGCGGGATGTGCATCCTTCTTGCTGCGTTACTCGTCGAGGTAGTTGGATGGAGAAGTGGACCATATTTTTCTTGATTGCATCCCAGGTATCGCAGTCTTCCTTTGACAATGGATCGTCCCACGCCAGTTTCTTCTTGTGTAAGTCTTGAAGAAACGTTTTTGCCGTGGTAAGCAAAGGTGTGAGTAGTCCTAAGGGATCGAAGCAGAGTCCATTGATTTGGCTGAGGACGTATCGTTTGGTCGTTTTTGTATACGGTTTTGTAGCGCATACCAGACCTATTTGATCATCGTTGCTGTACCAGTGCAAGCCCAAGACTTTTATGTTAGTTGAAGTAGCACGATCATGCGTTGGGATCTTGTAATTGACTTGTGCACTGTTGGAGAGGTAGTCTCGAAGGTTCATTCCAACTTTGTTGAACACTTCCTTAGATTCATGATACTTCTTGAGGAGTTCTTCGTTGTTCTTTCCTTCAAGTATGACGTTGTCGACATACAGCATATCTGATATCTCTCGAAATGTGTTGTTGGTGAATGACTCAAGATGTTTGAGCAGCGCTTGATTCAGTATTGCCGGTCCAGCATTGATTCCGAACGGTACTCGGCAGAATCTGTAGTATCTGATATTACTACCGATGGGAGGCTTAGATGTGTCCTTCATCCACAAGAATCTTGTCGCGTCTCTGTGTTCAATAGGTAACTGGATCTGCAGGAACGCTTTCTGGATATCCGCAACCATTGTATAATCGTAAGTTCGGAACTTCAGTAGGATGTCGAAGATGCAGGAAGTCAGCGAGTACCCTTGATGTATGACATCATTCAAGCTTAGTTCTCCTTTCGCATGTGAGGACGCGTCGAAGACGACGCGGAGTTGTGTGGATTTCCCCGGCGTCCAAACATGACGGTGAGGCAAATAAAATGTGGTTACGCCAGCTGTGCTATGCTCGTGAACTTCTTCGATGATTCCTTGATGCCGGTAATCTTGTAGTGCTTCGTTATACAGGCTCATTTTTTCCGAGTCGTTTTGAAGTATCCGAATTAGGGCTTGAAGGCGTTTGACTGCCACGTTGAAGTTGCTCTTCAACTGAGTGACGTTGTCCAGAAATGGGAATCCTGCTGTGATTCTACCATTTTCAATTGAAATTGTGCTTCTGTAGTTGTTCATAAACTGCAGAACTGCTTCTTCGTCACTGTCCTTGTCCACTTTGATACCGAGGGATTCTAGTTCGTACAAGTTCTTTATGTCCTGCTTGTACTCTTCCTTTGCAGTGTTGACTATAGGAGTCGCGACGAGTATTGTATTCGTATTTGTCGAAGCTTTGCTGCCCTGGATTGAACTCTTTCCTGAGATTGCATAACCGAATACTGTCGGTGTGAGTATCAAGCCTGATGGCAGCGTTATGCAACGACGATCTCTGAGTATGAAGTCGTCGATTAGATCTTGGCCTACGAGAATGTCGGGAGTGATGATCTTGTCTTCAAGTGTGGGCTGTGCTACTTTGATCTGTTCCTTTCGAATAAAACTTCTATCGTCGGCGCTCAGTTTCGCTGTACTTATAGCTGAAGTTAAAGGAGTCTTCGTGTGTATTGAGATGTCCTTTATTGCCCGTCCGTCTATGACATTTCTGAGCGTAATTGATACTTCGTCAGAGTTAAATGTCTCAGCTTTTCCTCCAAAGCCGCTTACGGTAAAGCTGGCTGTTTTGATCAGTGGGAGTTTGAGATTTAAGCTTTTTTCGGTAGTGATGAAGCTTTTTTGAGCGCCTGTGTCGAAGAATATAGTAACAGATTCGTAATCCATCGTATTGAAGTTGAAGGCCAGAGCTGTAGCTGTCATCAGTACATATTGTAATCCATCTGACTCATTTCTCACATCCAAATTGGGTGAAATGACTTCGGCATTCTGTGATGTCTTTGTTCTCCCTCCAGATGGTCGTCTGATGTTGCTAAACCTTGACTGTGTCATTGTCGACGAGGTTGGATTCATGGGAAATCGATCAACAGTACATAGAGCTGAATGGTGGTCCTTGTTGCACCTGGGACAAGGTCCTAGATTCTTGCAATTACTTGATTGATGACTGCTGTCAAAGCATTTCCAGCACACTCTTCTCTTGATGGCTTCAGTTCGACGCATCTCCGGAGTTTTCAAGGTTGGACATTGCGGAAGTTTGTGGGACGAGTTTCCACATAGGCAAAGACTTTGCGATCCGTTTTTCTGACCAATATTCCTAGCAGGCTCAAATCTTGGTGTTCGTGTACGCATATCCTTGAAATTTGACCGACTGGTTTGGCTCAGAGTCATACGATCGTGTAATGTTCCCGTTGTGAGCGCAAGTGTTTCGTGAAGTGCAACAGCGTTTTCCAGAATTTCCAGAATCTCATCGGTTGACAGAGACTTTCCATCCTTCTGCTCTTTCCTGAGTACCTCTTTACTCATAGACTCGGGAAATTTCGACAGGATCAGTCTTCTCCACATTCGGCCGTTATCCAGTGAAACTCCAACGCACTCAATGTGGGTGAGTTTTTCGTTCACGTCCGTAAGGGTCCTTCGGCAACTGGTAGCGTCTTCTCTCGCTCGGGGTAGTTTCTCGAGCTCAGTGATTAGTAAGTCCGCTATGCATCCAGATTTGTTGAATCGTTTGTCGAGAAGCGTTATGGCTTTTTCGTAGTTTTCTCCTACTACTGGCATGTTTCCGAGCATTGATGCCGCCGATCCTTTCAGTGCTTGCCTCAGGAAGAGGAATTTGTCAATGTCACTGAGCTGTGGATTGCTGTGAATTAGTGAATTGTAAATCGTCCAGAATGTTGGGTAGTCTTTGTAATTTCCGTTGAATGTTGGAACTTCAAGTGTCGGTAGGCGCACTTTGTTCTCGCTGTATTGTCTGGCGGAGAGAGTACTAGCTGTGTCCGTATCTTGTGGTGGAGTCTGGGCGGTTGAAGAAGGGAGATTGTCTATCAGGCTTGACTGTTTCTCGAGTTCCCTCATCCGATATTTCAACTTGCTTGTCCAGTGTATTGCTTCTAGTTGTACACGATGAGCTTCGGTTGTTAAGAAGGAATCTAGATCATTCATCAGCTTTTCTCTCTCTGATTGGTCCTTCTTGGCGCCAATGAAAGTCATGGCATTTTGCATGCGGACCTCCAGGTTTTCTAGCAGACACGTGAGAGAGATCTGTATTTCGTCGATTTCCGCCATTTTGTCGGCTATGAAGACATTGCATTCCGTTACTGTGTTGGGGAATTCAAATGCTCTGTCTATGCTCAGGATTCTGCTCTCGAGGCTATTGACTGCAGAGCATGCCATTGAGATGGGCGTCTTGAATCCAGCCAATTCGGACATAGTTTGTCTCGTTCGCATGGACTGAATGCAGGTAAAAAGCTTGAAGTAGCTTCTTTTGCTGAGCTATGGATTGACCTGATAGCTAGCAGCAAGCTTTGATTTGACTGTTGTTGGTCAACTGTCAAGGAGCTTGTGAGGGTCGTCTGCTAACTGTGGATTGACCAGGCAGCTAGCTTGACCTCTTTACTAAGCTGTGGCTTGGACCAGACAGCTCAATAAGATGACTCTTGTACGTAAAAGTGGATTTACCAGCGATCACAGAGTCTTTTTTGGCTTTTGGAAGCCAAAAGTGTTCGAGGAGTTCTTTTGCTAACTGTGGTGGACCAGTCAGTCAGCTAGAAACCTCTTTGCTAAGCTATGGATATGACCTGATAGCTTAACAATATGACTCTTGTATGTGAAGGTGGTGAACCAGCAATCACAGAGTCCTTTTTTGACTTTAGGAAAGCCAAAAGTGTTCGAGAAGTTCTTTTGCTAACTGTGGTGGACCAGTCAGTCAGCTAGAAACCTCTTTGCTAAGCTATGGATAAGACCTGATAGCTTAACAATTTGACTCTTGTATGTGAAAGTGGTGAACCAGCAATCACAGAGTCCTTTTTTGACTTTAGGAAAGCCAAAAGTGTTCGAGGAGTTCTTTTGCTAACTGTGGTGAACCAGTCAGTTAGTTAGAAAACCTCTGCTAAGCTATGGATACGACCTGATAGCTTAGCAAGACCCGAGTTAGTGAAAGTGGTGAACCAGCAATCACTTGGGTCGAATATGGCTAATTAGTAGCCGAAAGGTGCGAGGAGTCTGTTTGCTAACTGTGGTGAACCAGTCAGTTAGCTAGAAACCTCTACTAAGCTGTGGATAGGACCTGACAGCTCAGTAAGACTCTTGTTCGCGAGAGTGGTGGACCAACAATCACGAGAGTCGAATATCGGCTGTTAGTAGCCTGCCACGCGGGACTTTTATCGAATTTCGGTGAGTAGCACCGAAGAGACGATCCGTTGGCCGATGCACCAATTTGGTAAAGACCAAGTTGGGTGGCAGCAACGAATTTATTCACAGGGAATAGTGACGAACAGCGACTGGACGATAGTGACGACTCCAGAACTTGGTATCCAGGCTCTTTTATACAGCCAAATTGGGCGTGTATAGCCTGGATGCCAACTTCTGGCCAGGAATGCTATCAATGCAGTAGAGTTTCGCCTACTTGAAAGTAGGCGCCGCCGAGTGCATTATCAAGGGCCATGAGGGTGACCCGGCGGCTAAACAGGTGCATGGACAACCTACAACTTGTCCATGACAGAATGGATACATTCACATAATCGAAGACAGTCGTTAATAAATAATATTAACGACAGCAACCTTCACTTTGAGCGACATGAGAGGAGGACACAACCTTCACCACTCAGAAAAAACAGAAATTATTGGCGGTGAAACCCTGGATGTTGAGATCATAACTAAGTCGAAAGAAATGTAAACGAAGGGGTTTGATGCTTTGCAGTAACATTTTTAACTTACATTCTATAAAAGCTTTATCATAAATAACGCGAAGTTTGGAAGGGCTGAATGATAAAAGTACTGCGGCAGAAGTCAGCTGCCTGAGTACCATTTGCTACGCACCCCAGGAATAGCAGGAATCGCTGGATTAGTATGGCCGATCCCTTTGTGATTTTCTCAAAATCCCGGTACACTTGAATAGTAGAAGAATGCACATAAGTGAGTCAAAAACAAGAAACATCTAATTCTGAGTTGTTTGCAACTCAATTATTACTCTTCGGACACTGCTCAATTTGCAAATAATGCAAAAAAAGTTTTGCAGCAGAAGAGAATGTTCACAGAGAATTCAGCTGAAGATGCATGTAGTTCCATCCCTTTTACTGAGCTGGTATTAGAAAAGCTCAGGTTTTTAACAAGCCAATTTTTTATTCAACAGCTGCTACAGTACCAACACTGCCGCCTTAAAATCCTGCGATATAAACGCGTTGTCGCGCCGAAAATGTCGCATTGCCATAGCTCGCTTGAACCTCAACCAATTAAACTCTAGCTTAGATATTTGTAATCAGCGCCTTCTAGACAATCTAAAAGTGTTTTCAAAAGTTTTGAAATATCCTTCACAGAGATCTTTTTTAGGACCATCGGCGGTATAAACGCATTGTCGCGTTGGTATCGCCGCGCCCCCATAATTTTCTTCAACTCAAACATATGAAATTCTGGTTCGAATATTTGGAGCCAGCGTCTCCTAAGCTACCGAAAAACGTTTTCGAAAATTTCAGAATCTTGCTTGCAAGTTTTTTTGGCTCCATGCCAGCGGCGATCTAAACTCAATGTCGCGCTGGAAGCGCCGCATTACTGTAACTCGGCTCAAAGTCTTTCAGCTGAAAATTCATGAAAAAATAATAGAATTATGAGCCAGACTACAAATTATGTTTCAACAACACTTTCATGCGCCATCATATTGATAACTTTGATATTAAATCGATACAATGAGGTCACTACAACTATGACCAGAGCCAGCCTGGTTAATTAGGGCACTATGAGGGACCAAAAAAAATCTGGGGAAAAAATTTGAAATATCTCAGATTTTGAGCATATCCTCAGATAGCTTGGAACTCGCTTGTTCCGAATATTAATATTAGAACTCGCTGGAGAAAATGTGAAGAAAGTTACACCAATCCGGCTTTTCCGGCGCTACATGGCGTTCATATCGTCGTACATTTTGCTCAATAATGTAGAATCGTACCAAGACAAAAGAATCTGCAAAGTTTGAGCGAACCCGTAAGTAGATAAAAACACGCTGATTTCAAATATCTTATCGGAATTTTAGCTGAAAGACTTTGAGCCGAGTTACAGTAATGCGGCGCTTCCAGCGCGACATTGAGTTTAGATCGCCGCTGGCATGGAGCCAAAAAAACTTGCAAGCAAGATTCTGAAATTTTCGAAAATGTTTTTCGGTAGCTTAGGAGACACTGGCTCCAAATATTCGAACCAGAATTTCATATGTTTGAGTTGAAGAAAGTTATGGGGGCGCGGCGATACCAACGCGACAATGCGTTTATACCGCCGATGGTCCTAAAAAAAGATCTCTGTGAAGGATATTTCAGAACTTTTGAAAACACTTTTAGATTGTCTAGAAGGCGCTGATTACAAATATCTAAGCTAGAGTTCAATTGGTTGAGGTTCAAGCGAGCTATGGCAATGCGACATTTTCGGCGCGACAACGCGTTTATATCGCAGGATTTCAAAGCGGCAGTGTTGGTACTGTACTCAATTCTGTAACAATAAAATTCTGTTTCAAATCTCATTTGTGACGTTCCTGAAAAATTGGAAAGGGTGTGACGTCTACAGCGAAGTACAGTGTAAGTGATTCTGCTACGCATTTTTTCTCGATTCTCTGTCGAAAAATCTCAATGTTATATTCTGATTCCTAGTCAGGTCCTCAAAACAAAATTTTGAGACTGTGAATTTACTGTTTTTGTACTTGTAGCTTCCCATAAGTTCGGTATTGCTGAACCAGTCTGATGAGATGTTTGTCTGTTTCTCTGCTCCACCGATACATTCAATACTAAAATTCTGCGTGCTATCAAAACAAGAAATTTACCATGAATACACTTTACATATGACCGACATCTATACGAATAAATTACATTGAAAACCACAGACAGGTTGCTAATATTGTAGCTAAGAAGAACGACGAGAATGAGTAGCTTGAAGAGGTCGTGATCGGCAAAGTTGTCGATGTTCTCACTGGAGGAGCACTCGATCTAGTCGTTATCTTCGTGGTGGGACTCGATGGCAAAGTTTGTGCGTTAGTGGTCATTGCTGTAGAAGTTGTAAGTCTGTTCGGATGAGTAGGAGGCTTTGGGGTATTAGTAGGTGATGTATTCGTACTTGTTGGTGGCATTGTCGGCGAAGCTGAAGGAGTAGAACTTGAGGCTGAACTTACGGTACTGGCAGAAGAAGTAGCCAGAGATGGAGTGTTAGGGGAACTACTAGCTGTGTTAGCCGTGGTAGGAGAGGGCTTAGAAGTAGACGAAGTACTTGGAGTAGAAGAACTGGTTGTGGATTTACTGGTACTTGGAGCTGTTACAGGTTTCGATGTCGGATGAGTTGTGGGCTTCGTCGTGCTCGGAGTCGAAGAACTGCTGCTAGTTCTAGTGCTGCTTGGAGAGCTGCTGGACGACGGAGATGTACTTGATTTCACAGTCGGCGTCGATGCCGTCGTTGGTCCTGAGGCTGTTGTGGCAGGTGATGTAGTATTAGGATAGACTGGCACTGAAAAAGATTTTATAACTGACATGCCTCGAAAGCTTGTCCTATCGCAGTATGAAAGCCTGCTTCTGCAAGTTTGCTTTTTATCGCTACATTCCAACTGGAACATTTCATTTGTCGCTATATTTTGGTCTACCTGTTTAGCATTTTAGTCAACATTGCTCGGTATGGTGTTATGTATAGGAGGGACGCGATACATAAAAAGATAATTATAGTCCCAAAAATGTGAAATTGTTCAATCGCTAATAATTTCTGTTTATCATCAGCCGTTATCTCAAGCTATGATACAATACGCTCAAAAAACGTGCAAGTTTTCCTAAACGCGGAAGTCCGCGAATTTCCCGAGAATCCGTGACATTCACGGAAATTTTGCACGTTCGATGAGCGTTATTGTAGTATCCATGATACCGGTTGCTTTAGTGATCAGAAATTTTATTATATTATTTGAAGTGCTCCACATACAGGTGCAAAGTCATTTACTGGTTTTAGCAGGGTCAAAAATCCTACCACAAAATTTTTTAGACGTTTTGGAAGTTTTTCAACAGTGTAAGCAGTTTCGTAATGACGAAATTGTGCTTGGAAGTATCTGCCGTAATCCTAATAATGAGGACCGATGGCTGGTTCGTTTAGTGATATAAATCTGGATTAAAGTGAATTCTATCGAGTTGTTTCAAGGTCCGTAAAAAGTGACGTTGTAGGGAATAATGAAGCATTCGTTAAACTTTTTGAGACTTCCAGTAGTGGAATTTATCCAGTTTCATGAAATCATGACATTTGCAAGGACACCAAGAATGCCATTTCACCCAAATTTTCCACGAGCTTTACGTATAAATGCAACGGCCTGTTACCATATAACTATCGTAATTTTATCGAAGAGTATATTTATCCTTTTCTTATCATTTTTCTAGCTGACATTTCCGCCATCTTACCATTTGTGAGCTGAGGTTAAGCCAATGTCTTTTTAGGCTTCACAGAAAACTAAGCGATCAAACCCCTCAAACTACACAACACCGAAATCGCGCTCATTTTGAAAATGTACATGAATTTTCATTATGGACTTAGTTTTACGTTTCATAAACTTTCCTTAAGACTCACTATTTACGCCTCCAATGTAACCATACATTGAGTGCTCATTTCGTCCAATTACGTAGTAGACGTAAGGGTCATCGGCAGTAGAATAAATCAAATGGAATCCTTTCGTTGGTATGGTAACGACGAATGCGTAGTAATTTACGCCTTCTATCTCGCCGATTGTTGTCATAGCTTGATTGTAGGAAGTGATTTTTTTTCCATCAATGGTCATGGTTAGGCAAACGGTAACCACGCAGACAACCTAAAACTGATTTCTTTGATTAACCAAGAATGATTGAGTTTTCTTACCTCTATCTTATCTCCGTCGTTCTTCGTAAAAAAGCTCGAATTGCCAGTGAAGAACTGATTCGTGGATGCTACTGTATCAATATAAGCACCCTGCTTTCCCAGTCCTGACATATCGTGGTAGCGTACAACGTTAATCGGTGCCCAACTGAACAAAAACCAACATAAAGTGTAGATTTTCCGTTCATTATAGTGACTTGCGGTCCGAGAATGGGTTACCAAATTTGCGCGTGAACAACTAGCTATGCCGGTAATGCCGGCATTTTGCGCGCGCAAGTGGCGAGCGTTACGAGCCTAGCTAATTTTTCACGAGCAAATTTTACTACCCAATCTTGAGTTTTGTTGTGTAGTGCTCGTCACAACCAAAAATTGTACAATTTTGGGGAGATTTTTTCTCATGCAAAGAGTTTACTGGTGGTTTGCTTACTACGCAAAATTTCTGAGAAATATGGTGAATTTGAAATTTTCGCGTTTGCTGCTGCGCAGTGCTTATAAGCATTATGAAAAATAACCAATTTTCTTCTTTCTGAATTTTTACTCTCTTCTTGTTGGATACCTTAGTATCAAGCAAAACACGAGACAAACATTGGAAATGGCTAATACCGGTATCATCTGAGCATTTGTAGAAATGACAGCATTGTCAAAATTATTCTAGGTGGCAAACAAAGAAGAAAAGTATTGCTTCTAATCGGTTTGAGATTCGAATTCAGTAATATCAGCCATAGTCAGCTTACAAAAACTTTGAAAGAACAGTATTTATAGCCTTTTTGTAGAAGGTTCCGATGCCCGGATAGACCAAAAAGACAAACTTTGTTCTTTGCTAATTTATTGAAATTCTGATCCCGAATGCTTGAAATATGAATTACGAAGAAAATCTTCGAAATGCACACAGGTATCTCAATCACTCACTCGACATGCATATTTACGGCTGTTCCGAAACTCGAATCAAAGGAGAGCAAAGGCGTTTGCGATGAATCAGAAAGTGAATATTGCTTTGATACTGGTCCTCGTGAAACCGTCATCTGTAAATAAAACATTACTGTAGCGATTAAACTGTATCGGTATCATAGCTCAAGGAACTTTAATTGAATAGCAAGGCAACAGATAATTTCCAGCAAAAAAAATTCTTCGAAGAAAGACAGAGGATTTTTTGCATGACTTGGCGATGACATTAAGAAAATGCAATTACCCCTTTCACAAATTTAAATGAAAAATGCTCTAACCTTGATTTAAATACGATTTTCTGTTTTCGAAGATTACTGAATGGACAAAAAAAAATTTCAATTGATTTTTCGGTTCTACTCAAACCGGAAAATCTAAAGGAACAGAGACGGGTTACTTACATTCTGGTTGTAGCAGAACTGCGGAATATTAGCGTAGAAACCAGTAATATTACTAATAGAAGTTGGATGGTCTTCGGCATAGGACATGTCCGACATGCATACTGGAATGGTGTGATCATATTTTGCAGTAAACACTAGAGAAAATAAGCTTTGCAGGCACCGTCCACCTAGATTAAGGCCAATGAGATTTTGATGTCATATAATGGAGGAGCCCCTTAGTAAGCCATCGCCCAAGTCTCGCTGCAAAAGGTGAATTCCGAAGCGAGAAAACCGCTTCAGAAGGTAGAAGCGACTCGTTGGGCTCCGCCCATCAAAGTGGGTGGTCTGGAAATGAAAAGTCCAGAATCGGACTTTAAAGTAGACGGAAATGTCGAAAATCTGATGATCATAGTGAAGGGCGGACTTATGAGAACTCTAGATACATTAAAACTAAATTTTGGACTTTTCACGTTCAGACCACCCACATTGATGGGCGGAGCCACCTAGGCCGCTTTTACATTCTGGAGCGTTTTCCTGCTTTCGAAATTCATTTTTTGCAGCGATAGTTGGGCGATGGCTTAGTTAGGGCCCCCTCCAATGTATGACATCAATTCTTCTAATTAACTTTGGGACGGTGCATTTTAAATTAAACATTATAAGGTATCTAAGTAAGCTTACATGGTCTTAACATAGGTTGAGGCATGAATGCAGCGTGATCGCAGGCTGTGTACTTTCCAGCACATGTCACTCCTGCGAGAATCTAGAAATCTATCAGATTGAATTTACAGATTTTCCCTGCTTAAATTTGTTGCAATGAATATTCTTCTTCTAGCTTCGTATGGATTAGTACATAAGAAACTGGCTAATCTGTTCAAATATTGATTCTCGAGAGTCTAAATAACAACAAATATTCTTCGAGTCTTCAGTTACTCTTACAAGGGGGGGGGGAGGGGTACGTTTAGTCGAAGTGGCCTTTCCAGGTGAATCCTTTATCATTCGAAAGACCATTAAATGCGATCCAAATCTGATCTCATTATCTGCCAAGCGCCTCTGCCCGAGTTATGAATGTTTTTTGATGGGAATAATGAACGCATAATAAAGGCGAAATCAAATGTTAAGTTTTTTTTAGCGTTCAAATAGAGCAGTGCTGAGTACGTATGAGTGTTTTGAAAAGCTCTTCTCTAAAAGAAGTGCTCTGATGACTAACATTGGACCATTCGAGCAATTCTGACACATTTTGTTCTAATTACGCATTCAATAATTTTTTAACACAAATGACTCAGAACTCGGCCTCCAAAGACGCTTGACAGATAATGAAAACAGTCACAATCTAGTTCCATGTGGAAAGACCACACCAACCAAACGGACCTCTTTTGTTAGTAACAGTATACCTTCCATATTTCCTTCCATGACCATTATCTTTTCCAACATCAAGAACGAATTTTCACGGCCACATTGTTGAGTTTATATCAGATTGAAGGAAATGTTTGCCATCATAGTGAAAAATCTGGGCTTCTTCCATTGTGAATTTGCTTCTTTTTTTTGTAAAGAAAAATCATGTGGTTTCTGATGACGCCTTTGTACTAAACGCCTTTTTACGAAGATAGAAAGTGAATACTGAGATCAGTCGAGCTTTACAATGTCGAGCAAGCCAAAAATCTCAAAACATTATCATTATCATGAGTTTCGTGATAAAAGAGCAGAATTTGTGCCTCGGATGTTTTGATCAGAAGTTATGATTATCGAGAAAACAATGCAAAACTGCGAAATTATCTTTTCGTATTTTCTCGAAAATTGTGACTTTTCAAAGTTACAAGTTAAAGTTATGAATCTTTGCAATATTTGCACGACCCGGAGGAGAACTTCAACATATCTTAAGATTTTTGGTTGACTTGACATCAAAACTCAGATAATCTCTTTCTTTAACTTGTATCTTTGCAACATGTTTTTACCAGAAAAGTTTCAAAGCGTCATTAGAAATTACGTGATTCTATCTCAGCAATAAAGTTATTTGTAGCCAAATCATTTGAACGAAAGAAAAGTTACGATTTTTTAGAAATGGTGCAAACACTTTAGTTTCAACCTAATGGAAGAGATGTCCAATACTCAGCAGTCAAATCTGACTGAAAGAAAGAGTGCGTGACACTTTTTAAATTTCGCGCTCTAGACAGACTTCGCTCCAGTGCAAAGGGATTGGTCAGAACAGGTTCGGTCACGATACGCATCCAAGTAAATCCAGCAAAAAGCTCACTAATATGGGACCGCCTATATCCGACTCTATCCTATAGGTCATCGATTGCGATTTCGTTGTTGGCGTCATGAAATAGACAGTTGGACCATTAATTTTTGCCTAAAATTCAAATTATCGTAAATCTTTTGCGTAAATTAACGTTTTTTGCAGTTCCCACTCACTGTGAATGCAAATTGGTCACTTCCAGCTGTCAGTGCTCCTTTAACGTCGCTTTCCGTAGGAATAATTGTGATATGCTGATTCTGGTTATCACTGGCGGGTGGAAGTGTAAATGCATAGACGAAGTTCGCCCATTTTGTTGGAAGAACTGAATAAGGTTTTGAAATTTAGAAGTCTAGAGCTTGACATGGTTTTAACGAATCACAAGAAAAATACTCTTGGTTATCAGGAGCCTATGAAATCAAGAGGAAAAATGTATAAGTGCAGTTAAGAACGTGAAAAAAGTAAATACAGATACAACGTGTTTTTTTCAGTGAATACAAATACAAGATAATCCTCTAATCTGATAAATTTGGCGTCCTTGTGAAAAGACATAAATTTGTTGTTTTGACTCATTTTTGTAATAACAGAATTGCTTTTCGGTGAAAAAGAACAATAAAATTGTGTGTGAGCAGGGTCGCATTAGCCATATTTCCCGAAGCTTTTTGAGGTTTTCAAATTTGCCGCATACTTGGGAACCCAAATTTCCAAGAAAATGAGGGAGCAGCCATGCTTTTGGAAACCTTCAAAGCTTTTGAATTCATATGGTATTTATGTGTTATTCAAATATTTGTGGTTGAAATAACTAGCCAGCCTAAATAACCAAACTCGACACTTTTACTGGGAGGGAGGGGGGAGGGAGGCCCTGTTTTCAGCTGTCGGCCACTTTTCTGATGTTGAAGCATGGAACGCAAAAGCAGATGTTTTTTTTCACCAATGCTTGTCGACTCAGCTATAAATAGTTGCAAGTAAAATTTTCAACTTTTCTGCAAATTATTACGATTTTCGTCGCTCGACATCAATCTTCATTTTTTTACAAAACAAGATCAACCTGCCTAGGTAAGAATCGTCCTGAAGAGTGGCATTATCATGATTATTTGCAATCAAAGTGACTGGACATGAAGAATTGGCAGAGATCAGTTGCCAAGGGCCCTTGTAGTTCTGCATACCTCCAGAATCGTATAGCCAACCATACCAGGATGGTATAGGAATCTGTTGATTTAAATTTATAAAGATTTTCTCAAACTCAAGAGTTGGAGCATAAATTCTTACCTCAGTCATGTTGGTCGCTGGTACGGTGAAATTCTTTGTAACCAACGGATTTTTAGTCTCGTCATAGTCTTCTCTATACTGGATTGAGATAACGCAGTCAAATGTGTTTGCGTTTAACACTGGAGAGTCAATCAATAAAACAAATTTTTGGAATGATTCCCATACAGTTAATCATAAATGCATGACCTTAGTCTCTCACTCTGAATTACCAGAACTTCTGCGGGCCCACACTCCAAGTACTTAGAAAAAACAGATTTGGTTTGCAAAGCTGTTTTGTTGTTTTCATGTTTTGTTTCTCAACAATGTTATGTTTTTCAATCTCAACTATTTTACTGAAAGAATAGTTCAATGAAATCGAATATTCGCAGTTAAATGATTTCCGCAGTAAATTTTTTCATAAACTCTATTTCAAGGAACATACTTGTTGCGACCAAATTTAGAGCTAAATCCGCTTACTTGCTTGGATATTTTTCCCGTTTCAGTACTTAGTTATATTGTAATTCAGGCGTGCTGCGTTAATCTCACCTGTGTTGCGTCAAATTTGCGGAGTTCAGGCAATTGTAATTACTATTCATTTATGTATCTAAATACAAATTTCTGTTCCAAAAACGGCTAACAAGTGTTGGTTCAGCTTTACAACTTATTAATCTCAAGAACAATTCTCAATTTTCACTGAATTCTGACCGTGCGAAACCGTGCGAGCAATAAATGTGTATGCTTTGATCAAAGTGATATATTAGGTTGATTGAAAAGTTCTGTTGCTTCGATATTGAATAATTCGTGACTGCTCCCTATATGAAACATTGATTTACAAAAAAATGCTCTTAAATAGGAGGATTCATAACTTCCTGATTTTTTTAGAGACAAAAGACTCCGGGGTTAAAAAATTCGAATGGGAGAACCACGCAAACTCGTGATTTTCGAAATAAATCGTCGAAAAGCTGAAACGCTGCAAGAAAATCAAAAGCAAATTTCTTAAAGGTTCTGTGAGCTGCTCTTTTTAAAGGTGCCAAGCTTGTGCCGAACGAGCTTTTCTACGAAAAGTTATGATTTTCGTGAGAAATGCAAAAATATGCAAAAAACGTCAATTTTTGCCATTTAAAAATTTTATCATATCTCTGAAGTCTTGCCGTCAAAAAGCAGCGAGATGTGATCAATTGAATTTTTATGTGAAGGTATTTTTTGTAAGTGAATGCGTTTTTGTATATGGAGCAGTTACGAATTTTTCAAAATCAAAGCGACAGAACTTTTGAATCAACCTAATATTTTTATTAAGTCATCCTTATCTATCACTTTTTGATGTCTCTGATACATTTTCCTACTATCAGGTTCGATAAGAATTACAAAATATAGAGAAATAATCCTCACAAGGAGCATAACCATACTGCCCTAGACCAAAATTGAATACAATTGGATGGATATGGAAAGTTCTAAAATTGACGATAGTGTGCTATATTGCTGAATTGATACCTGTAACTGATAGCAATTGGTTAGAAATATCCCTGTTAGCATCTCGAATGTAGCCGAAGATGAACTTGGTTCCAGCAGAATCTGGCTGGGAGGAACATGGCAGCAAAGATGCAGCTGTAAGAAAAAAAATTTCTATCAAAAAATGTTCACTTAGAATTTTTCGAGCTTATTTTTCTAGGTATTACATTGTGAAGGCATGTTACAACTACACCTTTACTCTGCGATAAAAATTTCTTGCAATAAAAAACTGAATTTATGGTGCGCAATATATCTTGAACACACTTACCCAATACAGCTAGGATCAGCATCGGAGTGAAACAGCTGATAAGCAATTCAACGGCAATTACAGCTTTTTACTGCCATCTATCCGAGCCGGACCCTACGATAAGGCTCCAAGTCACTTCATGAAACTCTACTCACTCCACGCATTATCTGACTTGAGCAGATTGGCTCATCTTCTAAATTTCTTTCTTTTCATCTCGCTCGAAATTCGTTCAAAATCTCACCTCTGCTTCCGCGGAAATCATTGATTATGCTCATCCGCTGTATGTTGTGCTAACAAGCTAGAGATCCGTAGGAAATTTTTGGAAAGAGATCCGATTTTTGAAGTATTTAAAAATTTTGATTTTTGGCTCCAAAATCCAACTAAGATACGACTTGGGTGGATCTGTCGTGGTTATTTTGTAGGGCTTACTTTGATCCATCAAATGACGCTCTAAGTCTGCTAGGAAACAAAAATAGCGTGATTTATTCAGAAAAGGGGTTCATTCTTGGAACAACCTTATAGACAGCTTCTAAAAACTCGGTTAAGCTCTAGCTTTTCGGTTATGCAAACCTTTCTTCTAACTGGCTCCTTGTCAGATAATTAAAGTTTTAGTTCCAAGTTTTTTTTTAGTTTTTTTTTAGTTTTTTTAAAGTTTTTCAGTTCATCAAAGAAATTTTCGGGCATTGCATTTATTAAGGCTTATACTAAGAGTCAGTTTCTGTGAAACATTCAAGCAAATGAAGTAAAGAATCCGACGCAAGGATTGGCGCTTTAGATTGGCCGCAGCTTATTAGCTTTTTGGAAGGAGGTATTTGCAGTAGAGAAGTTTTATTATCGCTCTCAACTCTTTGAGTCCATGTAGCCAATAAAATCTTTCTTAAGCGCGTTTTCCCATGCCTCAAAATGTATTCCAGTGTATGCCTCTGAGTTCAAAAAATTAGCATATTTCAAGGTAAATGTTCCTGTCACTCGTGGCATTCAATGGATGTACTTTATTCTCACGCATATAAAAACCGTATCTTGATTACTCTGGAAGTGGACACGGCAGATATTACCTAGCAATCTTTCGCCGTGGGGCGCCTTAACTATATCGTAAACGCTTATCTCGTGTGCGAAGTGACGCGCTAGCGTGCGCATAGATTAACCCATTGACGACGATGTGGACCACCGGTGTCCCACGCACTTTTTGCCGACAAGAACGATGTGGACCACCGCTGGCCCACACACCTTGCAAAATCATATCCTTTCCGGGTCCAGTATTTTTCCCAGAGTTTACCATTTTTTCCAGTTGTTTGCAGAACATATACATTTCGTAAATAATCACAAAACGTTCCCGCGCAGCAATTGTTGTGCAAAATAATCACGTCGTCCCACAGCGCCGCCACGCAAAATTAGGCGTCGTCGTCAATGGTTAAAGGCAGTGGCTCGGCAAAATCGAACATCTCGAAATTTTATAAGGAAGATTGCTTGCACCAAACATGAGGACGGAGCAGGTCCGAGCGCATAGCATGCAACCCCTGCCTAGAAAATTGCCCCTAAACCTGTGCGCGCAAGCCATTCTTACACGGGCTCGGAGGAGCTTGCGATATTCCTAACACCTCAAAGGCGGCATGCGGCAATGCTTCAGACATGAGGGTCACAACGACTCTACGTCTCTAACCATGGCGGGGAGAGTGTGACTCGTCCAAATTCAAAATGCCTTGAGAAGTGTAGGTTTTCGTCATTTTCGCGCTCTAAAATGTGGGTTTTCGGAATCAAGCGTCGAGTTACCCCAGGTAAGCGAAACCAAAGGTCGAGGAGTTGTTGAGCCACTCCTTTGAGTGTAAGCGGGTGTGGCATGTACATGCTTGTGAGGATTGAGCGCTTCTCTCGTTCGGAATAATCTTGTAATCTTTGACAATTCTTAACTAACCTTAAAAATTCTTATAACTAATTTTTTCCAGTCGACTTCTTCTTGAAATCAGGGCGATCTCACCCAGCAGTTCTGATGTATGATGCAGTTGTTTCGCAGTTTCTCTGCGGCCATTAACAATCAAATGGACCCTGCTATTAACCGATGAAATTATAAAACTATATACTTTACAGTGACCATGGGACAGGTGGCGTAGTGGTATGAGGCGCCGCTATATCAAAGTCGCATCCAGGTTCGGTCCCGCCCCAGGCCAGCCAATCCCTCTACCCTCCGGAGCCGAAAAATTGGTACCAGAGTAATCTGGAAGCATAAAAACACAGATAAAAGACGCTGGATCTTTTATTCTCTTATTCTTCACATAAGACGGAAATCTGCACGAAAAATTACAGTAACAACCACAAGCAAGTTGTCATTATAGCTAAGAAGAACGACGAGAGTGAGTAGCTTAAGGAAGGCGTGGTTGGCAATTTTGTCGATGTCTTCACAGGAGGAGCGGTCATTCTGGTCCTTAGAGGAGCGGTCATTCTGGTCCTTATTTTCCTGGAACTTGAAGGCATAGTTATTGCTGTAGAAGTGTTCCGAGGGGTAGATGAAGATGTCGGGATGTTAGTAGAAGGCTTGGAACTTGGGGCTGAGGTTGAGGATATACGTTTCACTGTCGAAGTCGGTGATTTCGCCGTTGTTTTTAAAGTTGTTGTGGTAGGTGACGAGTACACTGGCACTGAAAATTTAAAGTTAGTAGGCTCAATGGACCTCCATTGCTACATGTTAGGTTGGACCAAAAGTTCTTGCCCATCGCTTTAAAAAAAATCATAATTTCCTTGCCACTGGATGGATTTCTCCAAAATTATCTTCATTCAGAAGAAAAATCCATGATCTTTGCAGCTCAGCCTTCGTCAAATTAGTTCGGAAAAATTCGTGAGTTACCAGCAATTGAAGGAAATCAATCAAGATTGGCGTTTTTCAGCTGGACCACGAAAAATTTTGAAAGTATCTATTTTTGTTTCAAAGAGAAAAGTTTGCGCATTATTGCAGTACCTTTCCCGCGAGTTGCTATGAGATAGTTCGAAAGTTAGAAGTCAATGAAGAGAATCACTTCAGTTTTGCAATTTTTGAGCTCAAAAAAGCTTCAGACATCGTAGCAGAGTCTGAAACAGTCATAAACGTTGGTTTTATGACCTCCTCTTTCTTGTTGAGCGTTCGTGTCAAATGAGAGCAGAATGAATTTCGTGTATTTTTAGGGTTTTGGCTACATTTTTAACGAAAATCAAATCTGCTCCAGATCGCCACGAATCTCAACTAGAAAGAGGAGCTCATAAAAATTGCTCATGACTGTTTCGGTCTCTGCTGCGAGATCTGGAGCTTTTTTGAGCTCAAAAGTTGCAAAACTGAAGTGATTCTCTTCATTGGCTTCTAACTTTCGAACTATCTCATAGCAACTCGCGGGAAAGGTACTGCAATAATGCGCAAATTCTCTTTCAAAAAAAATACTTCCAAAATTGTGATCCAGGTCGAAAAATGACAATCTTGAATGATTTCCTTCAATTACTTCTAACTCTCAAACTTTCTCAAACTAATTTATGGCAAAGGTACCGCTGTAAAGAGCATGGATTTCTTTTCTAAACAAAACATAATTCTGAAGAAATCCATCCAGTGGCAAGGAAGTTATAATTTTGAAAATGATGCACAAGAACTTACTGATTAACCTAATACATTTGGCTTCTTTGCAGGATACCACTACCCCTAAGGTTCACTCCACTTGGCCAGTTCATTTCAATTTGCTAATATTCTAGCCTCTTAGTCTCATTCAGAATTTCAAATCGTAATTTAGTACTACTTCATCGATAGCAAACATAAAAAACGACACAAAAAGTTGCAGATTCTGGATCCTATCCGTTTTTGTAAATCATGGACATGAACAAGAATTCACTGAAGCTGCCTTCCACGTTCCGCACAAGCTTTAAGAGTAATTTGCTGTTGTATGACTACCGTTTTCTATACAGTGCTGGACATAATTATACAGCCACTCTAGAAATCGTCGTAATTTTTGTTCTTGTCAATGAATCTGTCTGAAACTTTGCTGTATTGTGCGCTTGTCAACCTACCATAACCCGTCAAAACGGCAACACGGCTTCCAGTCTTGTTGAGTTTGAACGGAGAAAAACGAAAAAAATCGAAAAAGCCCTCTTTGAAAGCTGGACAAAATTATACAGCCACCTGGTTTTTCTAATCACTGTCGCATTCGTTGACTCTCAAATTTTTTTGTACAATTACATCCCAGAATATGAAACATTTGCGACACTTACGGCCTGTCTTCCTACTCAAATAGAAGCAATCGCTGCATTTCTTGCTTTTAAAAGCATTAAAAGTCAATCTCCTTCAACAAACAACTGCTTTAAAGAGTCTTCAAGCTCTTGTTTATTCCAAATGATAATCATGGAATCTACTGACCCTTCTGGATAGATGAGGTGAAGAGCGCTTTCGTAAACTCTGCGTAATCGCAGATTTTGACGAACAGACTCCAACCTCACCATAGGCTTGGAACGCTTTTAAACCACAAAACTCAGTTTGCAATGTCCACAAAGCTGAACTTGATTTATCACATTGTCTACATGGGGATACAGCTTTCGCAACAACTTTCAGATTTTTCCTAATGATGCGGTAGCGATTTAGACCTGGAATACTTTCCAAAAAATTCCCTGCGAGCGGAAGATTCGATATAACCCTAGATCTCCTTACTTCCCTCTGTGTTTCGCGTCATACTACATCCGATGAATGAGATTAGCTAAGATTTTGAAGTTTTAAGCGTCTCAGGTTTTATTTCGTGATCTGAGTTGGCTTTGATTGTACAGGGTGCTCCACTCAACATTCAGTGAATGTCAACTGCGGCTGAATCAGAGTGCTCAGTCCCGAAATTTCTTCCCAGTCATGCACACGAGTTCACTGTTGTATGGCTGTCGTAATGGCTACATTACAGTATTTTCTGTCGCTTGAAAATCGAGTTTCGTGGTGCAAAAGTGCGTCAACCCTATGGTGAGGTTGGAGTCTGTTCATCAAAATCAGCGATTACGCAGAGTTTACGAAAGCGCTCTCCACCTCATCTATCCAGAAGGGTCAGTAGATTCCATGATTATCATTCGGAATGAACAAGAGCTTGAAAACTCTTTAAAGCAGTTGTTTGTTGAAGGAGATTGACTTTTAATGCTTTTAAAAGCAAGAAATGCAGCGATTGCTTCTATTTGAGTAGGAAGACAGGCCGTAAGTGTCGCAAATGTTTCCTATTTTGGGATGTAATTGTACAAAAAAATTTGAGAGTCAACGAATGCGATAGTGGTCAGAAAAACCAGGTGGCTGTATAATTTTGTCCACCTTTCAAAGAGGGCTTTTTCGATTTTTTTCGTTTTTCTCCGTTCAAACTCAACAAGACTGGAAGCCGTTTTAAGGGATTATGGTAGGTTGACATGCGCACAATAAAGCAAAGTTTCAGACAGATTCATTGACAAGATCAAAAATTACGACGATTTCTAGAGTGGCTGTATAATTATGTCCAGCACTGTATTGTATAGGGCCCAAAATACAAGTCAGCTGCCTAACTAGCATTATTAGGAGCAAAAGTTTCTAGACACATCTTCGTCAAAATTGTGAACTAGATGGTATTTTACGGAGAGAGATTTTAGAGTTTCCAAGTAGGGCGGATAAAGTTCCTATGACGCACTAAGGCATACTTTCAGGTGTCATATTCTGATGTCTATGGGCCTGAACTGCCCTTTCTTTGACTTTAAATTCGCACTGAAACGATGAATGACTTCGCTTTGGCCTGGCTCACCAATTCAGCGTAAAACTCACTGTTCATGCCTCCATAGTAACCATACATGGAGTTTTCATTTCGTCCAGTTACGCAGTAGACGTAAGGGCCATCGGAAGTTGAGGAAAAGGAAATCACGTGAAATCCTCTTTTTGGTACGGTAAGGATAGCTGCCAAGTAATCCACGTTTTCTATCTTGCCAACTGCTCGCAAATCAAGTTCAAAGTCAACAATACTATATCCATCGAGACTCATGAGAAAGTAAAGGTTTTTCGCGAAGACGACCTAAACTTACTCTCTTAAACTGTGCAGAAATGATTAAAGGCAGCGTCCGGACAAAATCGACTTATCGCAGATTTTGATACGGTTTGATAAATCTCCCTCAAATAAGCAATTCATCAGGTCCGTTCGGAAATCGACTATCAAAGCCTTAAGTACGGCCGGTTCACTAACCCTTTCTGCACCCCATGCACCTCCGCGGACGAGCTTGCACATTCCACGCGCCATTTCGCTGCACCTGCAAGGTATAGGCTGCTGCATGGCGAAGGCGCAATATCTTTGGACGCGAACGCGGCTTCATTAGCCGCGGAGCGCATCAAGCGCAGGTTCTACAACAAAGATGAAGATACGCGAGCGCCGCGTTGCGCCCGCTCAGCTAATACTGCTTCTGCACCTTCGTCATGCAGTAGCCTATATATGTGTGTGTGAGAAACGTTTCTAGGTTGCATCGCAATAAACTGGCGCCGAAATACTAGTCCGCGCTCATTTAAATAAGACTCCCAAAACGTGTTTGGTCACGACATTTGAAGTTGAGGGAATGAAGTTCATGGAAAGGTTTGAGATTGACAAGAACATGGTCGAAAATTTGCACTGACGCTGCCTTTGAATTTTTCTTACCTCTACAGTATCGTTGTCGTTTTTCGTGAAAAAGCTCGAATTACCTCTGATGTACTGATTTGTCGACGGTACTGTAGTAATGAAAGTTCCCTGCCATCCCTGATCGAAACGATTGTCATAGCGAACAACGTTGATTGGTGCAGTGCTAAAACAAAGCTTACATAAAGTAAATTTCCGCTTAATATGAGTGGTATTTTTGAGATGCTCGACACATACTGAAAAGTTCCACCTTTTGCACAAAATTATTGTGTTTCGGATTATCTGTAAGTTCATTGTTCGCTTGCTTGCTCAATAGAAATTCCCAAAATTTCCGAGGTGTCGCGGATTGCGCGACTTCCTTATAGGGAGTTTGCCACCGCAAAGCGATGGGTCCTAAAACGCCAGTTCTGTCGCTGTCCGCCTCTCGTTCCCACGTCTAACTTCGCATAAGTCACGCACCTCGCCTCATCTGCCTAGCCGCGAGCGGTCGACTACCTCATCTGTCTATTGATCGATAAGCAGCGCACCGCTTCAATCCTGCGATGTTCAACACCTGCACGCTTGGAGGACTGGCAGCTGCACCGAGGTAACTCGGCTGTGCGCTCCTTGCTTGCCGCAGGACTGAGGAGCCTTCGCGGGGGGTTTCTTTACCGACCCCTAAATGAGATCTTGGCCGGTGTGTACTCTGCCCATTGTACTGAGTTGCTTGTGTGTTTGGTTCAATTAGGGATAAATGGTGGGCACATAGAACTGTAGTGTTTTGATTCTTGTGGTAGTCATAGGCTCGGACCTTGGCACATTATATCTGTATGCTGTTTGTGTTCCTTGTGTAGGTCTCGGATTAATCCATCAGTTGGAAGGAAGGGCATGATGTGCACTAGTGCCCTAGTTGCAAGTGATCCATAATTGTCCATGTGTGAACGGCTCGAGATGGCTAGCAGTAGGCATTAGGGGGTTGGTTGGTAGCTTAGGGCCTCTGATTCGTGTGCGTTGTGCTCGTGGCAGGCCATAATAGCGTGGCGCAGGTCAGCTATCTTTCCCCCAGTGTCGTTACTCTATTCACGGATGGAGTCCTCCGCTCCTGTCGCCGATGCAGAAGAGCACGTTACCACTGACGTACGGAGCGAGGAACCCCAATCCGCGACACCGGTTGGTTCCCCAAAAGTCTTGTAGCCTAAGTTTGCACTAACTGCAACATTCATCACTATTATTTGATTTCAGGTTTAGGCCAGGATGCTGGAGTTATCCTTCATAATATACAACTTTTTGAGTCTGGAATGCTCTCCATATTTAACTTTTGAAATGGAATCATCAAATCGTTCTTCTCTCGCAGCGGGAAAATCTATTTTCTCGGGGTTCAGAATACATTACGTCATTGTAAAAATTTGGAACATTTCTATCGGGGAGCTCAAAATCTATCGCTATGGCAGCTGCATGCAAATTATTTCATCGAGACAAGCCAAAAAAAGAATCTGGGATCTGAATGCGCGCTATTGCAGCTATGACTTTGAACTTTGAACTTGAATTTTATTCTGTAGAAGTGCAGCAGTCACTGGATCTGAAGTAATGTTCACTTAATATGTCGTTCGGAGAATCTAGTTCAACTTGGTCGACGTAAATGGTTTTAGAGCACTTTGTAGCCGATTTTCTGATATCATTTCCTGAAATTGTGTAGAGAACTCCAGCATGTGGTCTCCAGCATGTGGTCATGCCTGCATTCAGATTCATATATCCATTCTAAACAAAGATGTTTTGTGCATTTGAGAGATATAACACACATACAAAAAGTCTTAGGATTTTTTGAGTTTTTTGAACACTATCATTATCAATAAAAAAATTTTTACAGTATGTTGTAGCTCAAAGCTTACTGTATCAAACAGCATATTTTATAAGCGATAGTACTTTCGGGCCTCGGCACTATTAGCAAGGAAATGTTATAGAATTCCAAATGCTGTTATGCATTTGTTATTGTTCGAGTAATGGGTTTACCAACTTTCATGTTTCTATGCTGCTTTGTTTTGTTTTCATCAGAAGAAATACAAGGCTAAAAGAGTTTTGGGACACGCCGTAGATTGCTCCTGCTTTTTGCTGCCTTGCACGAATTATTAGTACAACAATTAGATTTTTCCCATTCTTATAAAATTTTCATTATTGAAAATGCTAGACAAGCAAACATAGCCTACTCCAATATATTTGTCGTCCTGAAAGTTTTGTCGGTTTTTTCGAATGTGTTAAATCTTGCCTAGTAAAAATCTGAGCATGTTCGAACATGCATTGATATAACTCTTTCTTCTTTCTCAAATAGTTTCATAATTCTTTTCATTTGCTCTAAAAATGCTCGAAATGTAATTCCAAAATGAAAGCTTTGTGTATTCAGTTTACTTTAGGTCACTCACTCTACATGCATATTTACGGCTAGTTCGGAAGTCGAATTAAAGAAGAGAAGAGGTGTCTGCTCCGAATCAGAAAGTTGATATTGCTTCTGCGAAACCGTCATCTGTAAATGGAACATCATCAGACCAAAAAGGTGCAGTAATTGTTTGTGTGTTTTTCAACAAAATACCCTTTGATTCAACTGGCTTGGCGGTTGAAGGCGGAGCTTCGTGACCTAGTTGAGGCTAAATAGTGATCAGAGAACACGTGCTAGGGAGAGACGCAGACTGCGTCGCGTGCGCGAGCGGCCTTAACTAGGCCACAAATTCCCGCCTTCCAGCCGTTACGCCAGTAAAATCAAACGTTATGTTGGTAATTCTGAGAAATCTTAGTTAATAGCAACACCATAAATATCATTTTTAGCATGGAAATAAAGCTTCGTAAGGGAAATCCAAGTCACTACGCAAATGATCAGGAGGAAAATCACTGAGCTGGTATGAAAAATTATTATCTATGCACTTTTCCGCTTAGCATTTGGTCGAAATGTCCTTTTAAGATGACATCCACGCAATTAAGGAAAGCAGATTAGGAATTAGCATTTCATGTTCGTTGATATGATATACATCTCATCTAAAAAGGCCACATCGACTGTACTGGTTCCTTTGTGAGATCATTGATGGAATCATTAAGATTATAACACTAGTAAGCGCAAGTTTTGTACGATCTTGAATTGCATTATTTCGTTCAAAAAACTGTCTTACGACGTTGCTTCAAAAAACTGTTATCTTTTGAGCAATGAAAATGAGCAAAAATCACAAAATGTAATAATTATTGAGTTTAACTCAAATACCATCTGTGGTGGGCAGTTCTGCGGAGTATTTACGTAGAAACCCTGCGAGAACGGGAATTGAAGCCCTCCGTCAGTAGCCCTAACAGGGCTTTGGACAAAGCTTGGATGATTTTCGGAATAGGACGTTTCCGACCGGCATACTGGAATAATCTATTATATGTCTCAGTAAACGTAAGGAATTAAGCTACGGAAATAAACATCACTGCAAAGATGTTAAGCTTACATGACTTTGGCATAGGTTGAGGCATAAATGCAGCGTGATCGCAAGATTTGTAGTTTCCGGCACATGTAACACCTGCGAGAATCTAGAAGAGAGCATTTTCTCTGTGAAATAATTTTACGTTTCAACTGGCTTCATATGGGTTAGCACTTCGAAAAGAGAGTAGCTTTTTGAACTGCATAATATTAGGTTAGAACGGATGTTCTGTCGCACCATTTTTACAAATTCGTAGCCTCCAGTTTTTTCAACGGATTTGCATGCAACTACCCTAATTTCCGGAGTATAAGGCTCATCTATGTATAAGGCGCACCTGCCGCGCGCGAAAGCGCGACAAATGCGCTTAAGAGTTGTACCAAGGTTCAGCTGTTCCCCACTAGGGGATGAGTATTAACAAAAAGTATTAACGAAATATCTGCAACCTCTTGATGTATCTGTCAATAAGCCTTTTAAGGATAATTCGAGGAAGCATTGGGATGCCTGGATAGCCGACAATACTCACGTAGAAATCACCAGGCGAGGAAGAAGAAAGGGACCACGGCGGCTTGAACTGATTGCTGAATGGGTACTCCAAAGTTTCCAAAAAGTCAGTGTCGATTCTATCTTAAATGGATTCAATGAAGCCCTTGACAACAGATATAGACTCAAACGATCTCAATGGTAGCTTTAACTCAATGAATTTCGAAGGTAGTAACGGTACGGATTTTTGAGTCTTTGCATTCTGTTGTGCTGAATGTAATAAAAGAATTTTTTTTCAAAACAACTCATGATTACAAGAAATTCAACTACAGAAAAGTCGTGAAAAGTCAGCACTTGGCGGCCTTCGCGACGTCGCACGTCGCTCGCGGCGTCGCAAATGAGTCCGCGCGCGGTGCAGAAAATGCGCCTCATGATCTGGAAATTAGGGTAATTGTCTCTGGAAGAAGAAACCTTGGGCTTGGTAACTGCATTTAGCTGATTTTCCAATACGCACACATATAGAAAAGGCAGAATCATTGATTGAATTTCCTGAGTTTGGTAAAAGATCTGGAACTTGCGATAAAAATTGAAGCAGTCAGTATTATAGATTTTTTGACTTGCTTCTTCTAACTAAAAAGTTTGAGCTGATTAACTGTCTCTACAAAAAGTTGTGATTTCTGAGAAAAACGCCGAAAGCAATCAAATTTGCTTTTTTGTTGCTCAGAAATCATAAGTTTTTGTAGAGACAGTTAATCAACTCAGCTTTGCTCACAAGGGAACCTTGTTTAGTCGAAGCGGCCTTTTTAGATAAATGTATACCATACTGGAGATCATAAAAATGCTGGTTCCAAACCTGCCTTCCTTATCTGCGGAACGTTCATGGACGAGAAGTTATAAGAGCTTAAAGCGAAAAATTACATGTGCAGATAGGACAAAAACTGTCGTAATACATATCTTTACCAAATCTCTAATGGAGCAGTGGTGATTATCAGAGCACTTTATTCAATAAATACTTTCAGATAGAAATTGTGTCACACTTGGTTGATCTCTTAAAGGGTTGGGGGGGGGGGGGGGGGGAGTTAGCAACGCATTTTATCTTAGATGCACTTTTTTACTTCAATAAACTCTCACAACTTCTCGTCCATGAACGTTCCACAGATAAGGAAGGCAGATTTAAAATCAGCATTGTATGCTCTCTAGGGGCCGCATGCACTAACATCCCTGCGGCGAGGGGAGCGGCGTCCCCAATGATGAAAAAGCCGCAGCGGCGTCCGCACGCGGTCCCTTCATAACGGGGGACGCCGCTCCCCTCGCCGCAGAAATGTTAGTGCTTACGGGCCTAATAAGCACACATTTTACCTGAAAAGGCCACTTCGATTAAACAAGGTTTCCTTGTCATTTAAATCAAGAAACTTGTAATAGTGACAGCTCCGATTTTCATAAGTTTCGAAATTTTATGACCAATCTCAGGAAATTCAAAATTTGAGTGATTTTTTTTCTACGTTTTCTATCTACGCGAACATGTGCGTGATGGAAAGTCTGCTATAAGCATTTATGAAGCACGTTTTCTTCATCCAGCATAACCAGATGGACGTAAATCCGTTGAGAAAGCTGTGAATATTTGAAAATGGTGCGACAGAAGATTCGTTCCAGCCTAATATAATTAACCATAGAAAGTTTGTAGGTCTTTTCCAATATTTGTATAATATAGCCGCTCTAGTTTCCCGTTGAATTTTCTACTCTAGTATAAAGTAAACATGTTCGCACGTAGCCCGTTCCATATAAAAAGAATTAATGACTACTGAACGCGCGAATTTTCATTTTTCGCCTGAAGCAGACGCTCCGCCTCCGGCACAAACAGGCGATTGGTCACCACTGGTCTCGACACGACAATGTAACTAGCGGAAATGGTCGGTGCTTCCAGTTTCGTATTGTTTGCGTGTCTCCAACAAAAAGCTCACCAATATCGGACCGTCCGCCTCTATCTTATAAGTCACCGGTTGCGAATTTGGTGTTTTTGTCATGAAATAAGCAGTTGGGCCAGCGAGTTTTGCCTAAACTCCCGTTTATCGCATGTCTTCTGCAAATCTGAGGCAACTTACTGTGAATGCCAATGAGTCGCTTCCAACTTTCAGTACTCCTTTGACGTCTCCTTCCGTAGGAATGATTGAGATATGCTGATTCTGGTTTACATCACTCGAGGCTGGTGGAAGTGTGAATGCATAGACTTGACCATATTTAGCCCATGTTGTTGGAAGAACTGAATAAAGCTTTTGAACCTCAAAACTAATCTAGCGCTTTCTTAGTTCTAACGAATCAAAAATAAAACTAATGTAAAAGACTGGCTTGAAGCGAAGTATTGTGTGTTATATCAGGACCCCATGAAAGTGAGGAAAATGTGCAACTCAATCAGGAAGGTGGGATAAGTAAATACAGATACAAAGTTTTCTTTCACTCTGATAAATCTAGCATCACCCGTGAAAAGACGTAAGTTTGTCATTTTCAATTATATCCATAGCATTGACTGCAACTGAATTTCTTTTCGGTAAAAAGACGGAAATATTTCTTGAAAAGGGTCGCATTGGCCAAGAATCCTGATTGCCACATTTGGGACCCCAAAATTCTACAAAAAAGAGGGAACAGCCATCTTTCGGAAAGCCTCAAGACTGCTTGTTTTTTGCTAATTCATAAAATTACTCTAATAACTTGCAACTGAAGCAACCTAGCAAAAATTTCAAGACTCTGAAGGAACTTCCCCTTCCCCCTCCACCCCCTTTTCAGCACTTGGCCAATGTCCTAAGTTGAGCTCATGGAGCGTCAAAGTAGATGCTTTCTCCTCAAATGTTTATTGGCCCTGCATGAAAATGATGCAACTAAAGTTGTCCAATTTTTTGTATATAATTAAATTTCTTTTGACGTACTTGCAACACTAACAATCAAGTTTTGTATAAAATAATTTGCTTGCCTAGGTAAGAATCCTCCTGAAAAGTGGCATTATCATGATTATTCGCAATCAAAGTGACTAGACACGAAGACCTGGCAGTGATCAGTTGCCAAGGACCCTTGTCGTCCTGCATGCCTCCAGAATCGTACATCCAACCATACCAGGATGGTATAGGAACCTGTAAATTTGAGTTAAAGAGATTTACTCATACTCAAGCGTCGGCGCATAAATTCTTACCTCAATCATGTTCGTCGCTGATACCGTGAATTTCTTTGAGACCAACGGATTTTTAGTCTCGTCATAATCTTCTCTATACTGTACTGCGAAATAGCAATCGTAAGTGTTCGAATTCAGTACTGAAAAAAAGCATTTCATAGAACATACATTTGAAAAATCACTGATACTTGCAGTCTGCAGAAAAATACAGATTACAGTATCTTTTTTCTCACTGTGACCACAACTCGCCTAATTCTCCTACAAAGCTGTACAATACATCGTACAATGTAGCTTGAACAAGGTAAGCGTCAAAATTGTTATTTTATAAATCTTTTGAATATTCTGTTAAACAGTAAAGTGACGCAAATAGAAGTGTCATATTTTCCAAATCAAAATCTAAAAGAATTACTCATTTTTTCAAATACTACCAACAATATTTGGGGGGAAAAACGGAGGCTACGGTCAAAGCTGATTTATTGGTACAAAAATTCATCGTCATTATTTCAAGAAGAAAAAATCGTAATGCATGGTGGTACATTAACATCAAGATTTGTGTTTTACATGGTCGTTGGTATGTTAGCCAGCCATCATACATTACAAATTTCCAATCCGAATTTTTAAATAAATAGGTAGACCAGAATGTGGCTCTAACAGCTTTATATCCGACAGCTTGAAAATACGTGTCGTTTTTTGGACCTGTCAGTGATTGCAAATTTTCTGTTTCAATGAAAGAATATAGGTGGAGGTTCACTCCCTCCGTGTTTAGAGTCATGACGACAACAATGGTATACTTCCATCTGTTGATTAAAAATAAGCTCAATGTTTTGGTAGTTGCAATCATCATATCATTGAAAAAATGTAAGAAACGATAAATGTTGACGAAAAAATGTCCCTAATTTGTGTAACAACAGCATGTATTTTACCTGATTTATTTTACTAAAGTAGATCCCTAAGTCAAATTCGTCGAAAGTTTACAACTTAGCTCTCTTAATGTACTACATTTACACGCAATTTGGCGATGTTAGACAACATTTAAAGCGAAACTTAGGCAACGAGAAAATTCCCGTTTCAGCAGTGGAATTTATGCGGCGACTCATGTTTGCTACGGTAGTCGACGTGTTTAAGAACAAAATAAGTATTTATGTAAGGAAGTCAAGTCTGGCGAATTTTTTAGCTCCATTTACACACATATTCAAACAAATGATGGTGTAGCGTATAAGATGTATTGAGAAAAATGTTGCCGTAATTTGTGTGGATAGGATACGATACTTTTGAGTGTAGCAAATTTATTGAAAAAAATATTTCTAGTTCGCCGTGTTCGCCAAAATGTGAGCGAGTAAATGAGAAAAAATAGAACTATTTCAAGTGAGTTACGTTTTAATTGATACCTATGCATCTGAAGGAAAATCGCTGTTTCATATCTGGGATGTAGGTGTTAATTTAGTTGTTATTGCCTGTAACATTTACAGGCAATAATCCAAGAAAAAATTGCATCAGTGCTGTGATGAATAGTAGGCTTTGTCCGAAGTAATTATATACAATGATATTCCTATTTCCCCCCTCCCCTCCCTTTCCCTCCAAGAAAGAACGTGCGTCATCATTTTTGTTGATTGGTCCTGGTAATTTTGATACCATGCCCTAAATGAGGGTTCGGCTAAGAAAACGAAAGTGAAGAAGTATTCAGAGAATAAAATCTTACAGAAAGCATGGATATAATGCAGAAATCAAAAATCCTCAGCAATAAGTCTAAGAAAGTTCCAAAATTGGTGATAATGGGAAAAATTGTCGACTGTGGTCACCTGTAACTGATAGCAATTGGTTGGAAATATTTCGATCAGCATCACGGATAAAGCCGAAGATGAATTCGGTTCCGGCAGAATCTGGCTGAGAAGAACATGTCCGCAAGGAGACGGCTGGAAAGAAAAAATTCTCCTCAAAAAATGCTTACTTCGGATTTTATTTGTACAATTGCGTTTACTCTCAAACTTATTTTCTAGGATGTTGCCAAGGCATGCTCCAGTTGCACTTTCATTCAGCAACGAATAGTTCTTGCCACAAAAAATGCTAATTTATGTTGCGCAACGCTTCTTGAACACACTTACCCAACACAGCTAGTGTCAGCATCATAGTGAAACGAGTGATAAGCTATTCAATCCCATATATAGCGTTTTGCTACAATCTTCGAGTCTTTGCCTTACGATAACTTTCGAAGTCACCTCGTAAAATTCCGCTCACCCGATGCATTATTTGGATTGAGCAAATTGACTCATCCCCTGAATGTGGACACACAAGCGGGAGAATATGGGACTAAAGGTGAAAGTGATTCGTCAGAGCCTCGGGCATACTTCACGCAATTTCGGTCGCGATACTATTTGAAATTTGACTGTTTGTCACCTTAAGCAAATTTTCCACAGAAAATAGAGCATTTTAGTGATCTACAAAAGTTATACTATGCATCTGCAGTCCGCGAGTGTTGATTTGAGGACATCTGGCAAATCGCATCGCATGGCGACTGGAATCGCGTGAAGTATGTCCGGGGCCGAAGGGACCTAAGGAGCACAGCGTCTTTCAATGATATCGAAATAAAGCTGCATAGCGATTGTCAGGAACAAATTAGCCACATGACTACTTATAACTTTTTTACTGGATATCATTTTTTGGCATTTCGAAAATAATTTTAAGTGATGTAGCCAATAATTCATCACCCCTTTAAAGCATTTAAAATTGTAGAAGGTGGAGATTGATTCATATTTTACAATTTCACAAGAGTAGACGCAAGCAAATGCTATTGGCTTGGAACACAAGTCTTGCTGAGAAAAACCAAAAAAATTAGAAAATTTTTGAGTAATCTTTTGAAAACCCCAAAAAATCCAAAATGCTTGAGTAATCGTTCTGGTTGATATTTTTTCGCCCTATACATTTATATAGTACTTTACTAGGAACTATATTCCAAACGAAACCTAGATTTGGAAACAGAAATATAATATTTTTTATGGCGACTTTTCGATCAGTACAAAATCATCCTAGTTAGGATAAGCAGGTCATAAAATCTAAACCAAAAGCGATATTTGAAATTGTTGGACCTTCTAACATTTTCGACCAAACCCAAAAATGTACTGCTTGAGTGTCTGCATTTATCAGCTCCAGTTGCTTAGTTTTTGCTATAGGCACTAAGGCAAATGTTAGTGTCTTATATTATCAATTACAAAGAGCGTAAACTGAGAGCTCATGGGTTTTAGAATTGGAGGGATATTTGTTTCAACATAATATATCACATTTTTTGTTTGAAACTGAAACTCAACGCAGATTTGTTTATAAATTTCATCGCTAACATTTCGCAGTAATCGGAGCCTCCTCGGAGTCCAAAAGTAAACATTTCCACATTGTTAAAATCACTTATGGTCTCACTGAACAGGCGGTCGTAAATAAGTCAAATTTTTTTCGGAAACACGCCACGAACAGAGATTAACGATTAAAACCCAATTCGGATTAGCAAAACTCCAACTGGAAGCACCTCAAAAAATTCTTCTGCCTGGCGAACAAGCCATAGTATGGTAAGACTGCTCCATCATGCTGATTCACTTCGAAGCCTCTAATTGATAGTTTTTCACCTGTGTTCGAATTTTACATGAATTTTTGAGGCAAAAAGTGACAGATAAAGTGAAGATTCGAATTTTTTTACCAGCTTCGACATCGAGGATGGACCTCCAACAAGTTCATTAAGAAGAGTTAAAGAATGCATTTTGCATTTCTCTTACGACTTTTAGACTACAGTGTCCCACAAACAAATTATTAATGGTAATTTTTGTTTTTGAGACCCATCTTTTCGAGTAGTTCTCACGAAAGAAAAATCCAACATGTTTTGATTCATTTTGACATGTTTCTAAAAGTAATAATAAAGATTGTCTTTCTCTTCAACCTGTCTTTCCGCCATGCAAATTCAGCCAGGAGATAAACAAATGAAGGCGGTACGTCAATGCCGCTTGTTTCGCCACTTAGATGATGGAAAAAATTAGATGGGCAGGACTCTTTAATGAGGAGCGGGAACTTAAAGGCAGCGTCCAGGCAAGTCTGGGCACATGGGTATCTCACGTGGATATTTTGGGCCCTTATCTAAGCCACTCCCAACCGGCAGCTCAGATGGTACTCTAACGGCTGAGATATTCCCCTCGAAATTGGACCACAGGATGGTATTTAGCATGGATTCATGGCTCAACGCCGGTCGCGAAACTGCCATGAATCCATGCGAATACGATCCTGGATCCAGTTTGGAGGCGTATATCTCAGTGAGTCACATGCGGTGCCGCTTGGGCAGTGCCTTAGTTAGGGCCCCAAAATTACTTTCCACGTAAAATCCCCATAGGTCCAAATTTGCCTGGACGTTGCCTTTAAGGCGCGGTATAAGGGAAGCTGTTCTATTAAATCCCTCAGGCTCGAGAACAATCGTCGTCATCATCGTCGTGCCAACATCCACTAACAGTCGAGATTCGAACAGTCATTGTGAAACTCTCATTCCAAGAAAATTCATGCTTAGGGCTCCATCTTACGCAGGGAAATCATCGTTTTGCTTACCTCAATCCTGTGAGTCTGCCGTGAGCATATCAATTCCTTCGCTTGTACCTAATTCTAATTTTACTCTGGCTGAGTCCGTCTTCGAAATGGGAATACCTCTGCTTCATTTGTATGTACTTATTTTCGTATGCTTCGGTCATCTGCAAGATCTTTGAACATACGCGCTTAGAATAAAAAAGTTTTTTGCATCTGCAGATGTACATGTATGTTCTAACTTGTGGCTTCTACTCTTTATAAATACTATACTTGTACAACTTAATACGATTCTGCAGCTTGCAACATTATTGCAATATTCGCTGTATTGTATTATTTTTTTATGATTTTACCAGGAATTTATTTCAATCTCTACTTCCTGAGAGTATCTTCTCTTCTGTACAAATACGGGCAGTCAACAAGTTTTTATTCTCAAACACACACAAAGCATATGGAGAATAAAAAACGGGGGGTACAGTCAGAACATCAGAGAATGAAGCTGACTACCGACTATGAGATAAAGAGAGCATATGAAGAATAAATGAAGATACAGAGATTTAGGAATAGTATAAGATTACATAGGGAAGCGTAAAAATAGAGAAGAAGTAGAGTCGAAGTCCCTCGGTCCAGGCTTGACGATGGAGATCGTTTGAAGAGCACAGCATCAAGTTTTTTTTGCATTTTAAGATTTTCCTTTTTTATTATTTTTCGATTTCATGTGCCAGTGATGCAGGGCGAGTCAATAGCATAGTTTAGCTTTGGTACTTTATGCCCCTCCTACATTTTACCCCTATAGAGAAGCAGTAAGATGTAGGAGAAGCGTAAATTCCCGCTCAATGGGAATTATAGAAATTTTCGTGGGGGACCAACTGACACAAAGCTGTTGCATGGTCAATTTTAGTGCATCGCTTACAATATGTAAGCGTTTCACACAATTCGCCCTCTTGCTTTTCTATACATAGAGCGCATAATTTGTGTTTGTGGAGCAATATATCGAGCCTTTTGAAGAAGGGCATTGCGGTCTTGCAGTCAGGGGTACGGTGGGAAGTGCCTTTACAAAGCAGGCAGGGGTCGGGTTCTGGGTTGTTTGTCTGCTCAACCGATGAGGGTGTTAGTCTTTTCCATATAGTTCTAGGGGGTGTGGGAGGACGAATGCGTTTATGTTTTATCTTCCTGGGTATTTCAGAAGGAATACCTTCCGATTCTGTTTTCACAGATATTTGAGAGGGAACAGCTTCAGATGTTGCGTTCGCAGCCGTCCCTAGGCAAGGAATTTTATCAAATTTGATATCCAATAGAGCGGGTATGTCTGCTGGTTTATAAGTAGGTGGCTTTGGTTCCGAGGACGACTCGCATTCTGCAAAACTTTTTAAGAAATTTTGGAATAGTTTCTCGTTGCGAGAGAGCAGGGAATTTTTGACAAAGGAGCATCTAGCGCAGGGTCTCGCTTCATTTGATTCTTCAAGGAGTCTCATTTTTTTTAAATGGGGGAGGGGGAGGGGGAGTAAGCGCTTGGTGGTTTTCAGGAATAGAAGTTGGTAGAGTGAATAGACAGTCGTGAATGGGTGCTCTGGCAAATGTGTTGAAAATGGCCTCGCGAGGAGGAGGGGGTTTACATAGGTCCTTCGGGGGCGGGTTTTCTGTCGATGACCTCTATACACGCCACACTATTGAGTCTACGCCTCACTGAACAGCTGATTGATCTACGCGCAACTCTAATGGGCCCCCGCGGACTGATCCATGGTTCTTTCATGAGCGAGCACCCGTCCGTCGCATGGCAGAAGTAACGAAACTCGTGCCAGGCAATTTCTCCTAGCGGGAGCATTCGATCGAAGCCACAAGGGTCAAAGGCCTTCGCTTTTCGCATACCCAGCGACTTTCGTTTCGAGTCACGTTTTTAGAAATAGCAAGAGCAGGAGGGTTATCTTCGTTATCTTCGGATGAAATACAACTCACATATATGACAAGCATTGGGTTGGTGCTGAAGACTTGCACCAGAATTTTCAATGCATATACTCTTCTCCAACATTAAAGCATTTCGATTTGACACACAGCTAAAGAAAGAAGATGTTGCGCTTTCTAAGAATGCTTGAGTAATTTATTCTTCGTTGGCGCTTCGCAACGATGCAAGCTGTTTAGTAGTGCTACTCAAAAAGTGGTTTCCTTGAACTTCGGTTGTAAAACTTGCTAAAACGTCTACTGCAGCATTGATTAGGGTGATGCATAAATGATGCATGTTGTTTATTCTAGACCGGCAGAAAAGGTATAAACATCTATGACATAGCCGATAGAGCAATGCAAATCCTACACGATGTGGTGAAAGAATGTAAGAAATCTTGATACACTTGAAGTTAGGAATGTAATATGAAGTTCTCCAAATGCGTTTCGAAAGCCCTGCAAACCTCCAACTTGCTCACGAAATTTACTTTTCGCATATGCTATGCGTATGTACACTTGCCGTACTCTTTCCTGGCTAAAAGTTGAGAAAATAAATTGCATGTTCTAACAAAATCATTACTGGATTGTTCCGACATAAATAATTTTATACTACAAGCCTTTGGAGGTATAACAAAAAATTTCCATCGATCTTCGGGCCTTGGTTTTCGAGAAGTACCTAATTTAGCACAAAAATCAAAAGGCGATGTTTGCGATTTTTCGGCATATTTCTGCTTTCAATTTCTAGTTTTTAAAAAAGTATGGCAAGTGTACAGATGAATACCTCAGGTATAGTATATGCATGAAAAGCTTAGAAGTTCGCAGAACCTTTTGGAAGGAAATTCGATTTTTGGACACTCAAAGTTCTCCAGGTAGTAAGATAAATTCGAATCGACCAAAAGATCGATAATCTTCGGTGCAAAAGCGAGGTAGCCATCTTGAAGAGCTTGATCTGCTCTATCGAACGGTACCTTGGAACCAGTGGCGCATCCAGGATCTCGGCTTGGGGGGGGGGATTTATTATTTATTAAGATTTATTTGAATGGCTAACGAACTTTTTTTTTCAAAATTTTTTCAATGAAGGTGCGTGGCGTTAGCCACGCACCCAGAAAAACTTTTTGGCACGCTTCTCAAAATCGCGGGCCCACAACCGCAAAAAAATTTTTTATAAGGCTAAAATGAATTTTTGAAAATTTTAAAAAATATTTTAATTATTTACAAGTGCAGGCAAGTCATTTGCAAATTTTATAACTCATGTAAGTAACTTTCAAAATTTTCGCGACCCGACCCACCCCTCTAGGTACGCCACTGCTTGGAACCTAAAGAATCAAGAAGTTCAGGATTTATTGCGATTGAAACCAAAAGACGGAACTTATGTGACAACCTGATATTTATTCATGCCTCTCTTTTACCACAAAAATAGCATGCAATATATCAAGTTGCATACTATGAAGGAAGGTAGCTAGAAATAATTTAACGATGTCTTGCCCATACAACAATTTAAAATAGTACAAACAGTATTAGACTGAACCGAAAGTTTGTTCGTACCATTCTCAGAAAATCCGTAACTTGCTTCGTTCTTAGTTGATTTAGACATGTTCATTATTTTTGAGAGGGGAAATTATGTTCTTTACAGCAGTATCTTTTCGACTTTCTATTAAGCATGCATTGCAGAGATAGAAGCAGCAGAGGAAAATCACTTGAATTTCGGTTTTTCTGTGTAGGTTAGCCACAAATTTGAAATTTGACTGAAAATCGGAACTGGTATCTTTTTTTTCGTGTGAGCAAAAATTGTGTTGTTTGAGCTTTTCTTTGAATAATTACAAATTTCGAGTAAGCAAAAGCAGAAAATTTGGTTTTTGGCTTTTGCTCGGAATCACATTTTCCAGAGAAAAGCTTCATCAACATGAATTCGAATGGAAAGAGCAGGTCATAAAACCTACACCAACAGTTCCGACTTTTGGTCAAGTTTCAAATGATTGGCGAACCTACCAGGAAAATCGAATTTTGAGTGATTTTCTACTGCGTCTGTCTAGTGCATGCTAGATAGAAAGCCTGGAATAAAAGATCTTTATTGTGTAATAGCAAAAAGCTGACAGCACAAACTCAAATTTTACAATTTTCAATGGTAAAACTGCTGGAAGGTCCAGCAAGCTCTACCAGTCTTAGTTCATGTTTTACCGACTTTTTTCTCTGAGGAAGTGCCAATTGGATCTCTCAACTGAGTTGTTGTTTTCACATTTTTTTTCGAATTTTGGCTATGTCCAAATTAGAATTTCTACTATGCATAATAAATCATTGCATACACTGTACTCAAAGAAAAAATGTTCCACAAATCGAAATGGTTACCTAAGCGTTTTTGAATGAATTTTTTTGGATTTTTGTGTAGGACTTATTTCCATCTTGATATTTCTAGCGACCAAAAATCAAAAATGATACAGCTTGAGTGATTGCCTTCATCAAGCTCTCGTGAACTCGTTGAGTAGCAAAAAGCGAAGGCCTCGCCTATCCGCAATCTTTGTGACTTCGATGGAATTGCTCCCGCGAGGAGAAATTGCCTGGCACGAGTTTCGTTACTTCTGCCATGCGACGGACGGGTGCTCGCTCGTGAAAAAACCATGGACCAGTCCGCGGGGTCCCATTAACTTTGCGCGTAGATCAATCAGCTATTCAGTGAGGCGTAGACTCAATAGTGTGGTGTGCATGGAGGTCACTGACGGAAAACCCGCCCCGGAAAAACCTATATAAACCCCCTCCTCCTCGCGAGGCCATCTGCAACATATTCAACCCTCAGAGCACCCACTCACGACTGGTTATTCACTCTAGCAACTTCTATTCCTGCTACCAAGCGCTTACACCCCCCCCCGCACCTAATAAAATGAAGGTCCTTGAAGAAACAAATGCAGCCAGACCCTGCGCTAGATGCTCTTTTGCTAAAAATTCCTTGCTCTCTCGCAACGAAAAACTATTCCAAGATTTTTTGAATAGTTTTGCAGAATGCGAATCCTCGAAACCAAGGTCACCTACTTATAAACCTGCAAACATACCAGCTCTACTAGATATCGAATTTGATAAAGTTCCTTGCCTAGGGACGGCTGCGAACACAGCAATTGAAGCTGTTCCGCCTCAGATACCTGTGAAAACAGAATCTGAAGTTATTCCTTCTGAAATACCCAGAAAAATAAAACATAAACGCATTCGTCCTCCCACGCCCCCTAGAACTTTATGGAAAAGACTAACACCCTCATCGATTGGACAGACAAACGACCTAGAACACGACTTCTGCCTGCTTTGTAAAGGCACTTCCCATCGCACCCCTGACTGCAAAACCGCAATGCCTTTCTTCAAAAGGCTCGATATATTGTTCCGCAGACACAAATTATGCGCTTTATGTATAGAAAAGCACGAGGGTGAATTGTGCGGAACGCTGCCATATTGCAAGCGATGCAGTAAAATTGACCATGCAACTGCCTTATGCCAGTTTGACCCCCACGAAAATTTTCATAAATCCCATTGAGCGGGAATTTGCGCTTTTCCTACATCTTACCCTTCTCTATAGGGGTATGTAGGAGGTCATAAAGTACCAAAACTATGCTATGCTGTCAATTCGCCCGCATCACTCGCGCATCAAATTGAAAAATGAAAAAAATAAAAATCGTAAAGTCCAAGAAAAGCTTGGTGCTGTGCTCTCCAAACGATCTCTATCGTCAAGCCTGGACCGACGGACTCCGACTTTCCTTCACCGTATTCTCCGTATGCATATGTAATCTGATGTTAGTAGTAAATCTCTTTATCTTCATTCATATGCTCTCTTTACCTCATAATCGGTACTCAGTTTCATTCTCTGATGTTCTGATTGTACTTTTTATTCTCCAGATGCTTTGTATGTGTTTGAGAATAAAAACTTGTTGACTGCTCGTGTTTGTACAGAGGAGATAGTGTTCAAAGGAAGCCCAAATTAAAACAAAATTCTTGGCAAATTATTTAAAAAAATACAATACAGTGAACTTGTTACAATAGATAGTTATGGGGTGCAGAATTGTATTAAACCGCACAAATATAATATCTATTACGAGTAGAAGCCAAAATTTGAAGCATACATGGACATCTGCAGTTACAAAAATTTTTTTACGTTAAGCGCATGTGTTCAAAAATCTTGCGAATGAGAGCATACGAAAATAAGTACACAAAAATGAAGCAGAAGTGTCCTCATTTAGAAGACGGACTCAGTCAGAGTATGACTAGAATTGGGTGCAAAAGGAACAGTTTTGCTCACGGCAGAATCACAGGACGGTAAGCACAATGATGAGTTCTTTGCCATAAATGGAGCCGTAAGCGCGAATTTTCTTGAAAGATGAGAGTTTCACAATGACAGTTCCGATGTCGACTGTAAGTGGTTCTTGGCGCATGATGATGGCGACAATTGTTCTCTAGCCTGAGAGTCTAAACTATCCAGCTTGGCTTATACAGTTCTCGCTTCCTCTAAAAAAGGGTTCTGTAAGACCATTTTTTGAAACCAGATAAGATTTAATATTAGAGATTCTGGATTAACAACCTTTGTAGTGAACTTCATATGAAAAGTTTTTCCTGTAAAAGATGAGCTATGTCAATAATTCGTTTGTGCATTGACATTGTAGTTTGAAAACGTACGAGAAAACTAAAAAAGCCTCGTTTCGCTCATGTTTCTTGCTGGCGGCCCATCCTCGATGTGAGAGCTGATCTAAGAAAGTCAAATCTGAGCGGTTTCTACCTGTCACCTGTCATACGTCAAAAAAATATTTGTAAGATTCGAACATCAGACCGGTAATTATCTTTTCAAATATTCACTAATGCGACCTAGTTTCTTATCTTTATAATCTCTGCTCGTCAGATCGGTGCTTCCGAAAAAAATTTCATACATTTACGATCGCCTGTTCAGTAAGATCATAATTAGGTTTTTGAACTCCGAAGAGGCTCCGATTACAGAGTCAGCGATGAAATTTCTAAACAATTCATAATTTTTAACAACTACGTTGATATATCAGGTTGATAATTGTTGAACCAACTTTTCTTCCCAAAAACTCTATAAATTCTCCAGTTTCAATTACACTCTATACGAAAACATTTAAAAAATATCTGCCTTAATGCCTGAAGCAAAAAGTAATGGCGTCATATCAAGGCGATAAAAGCTGATAAACATTAGGTTGTCCTATAAGCCTTTTCATACCTGACTTTTCACCAGCATAATTCTGCTTTTCTTTGATTTTTGATGGGATGCGTGGCATCATTTAAAAGAACAAAAGATCAACAAAACGGCTTTTCAAAAGTTTGTAATAGGCTTGATATGCATAGAGTTTCAAGACAAAATGGAAAAAATCCAAATTCACGAAAAAACAAAAATAATCGTATCTCAGTCAGTTCAAAAACATTCTCACTTATTTAAGCATATAACCTAACCATTAAATATTTATATATACACTTGCTGCATTTTTTGGCTAGAAATCGAGGAAAAAAGCGCTTAATCTTCGTACTTTGCCTGTAATGGGTCTATGCTCCTCGCGAATACGTAATTATACAGCTTATTCGCTTGGCAATACTTCCACAAATTTGCACCTTTGTAGATGTCTTAGTTTATGAGAAATATCAGTTTGAAGGTACAAATATGTAAGACTTATATGACAACTTAATTCAAACACTCAAATTGTACATTCTTGGGTTTTTGTTTGAAACGATGAAAGGTTCAAGAACCTTAAATCTCGCTTTTGCTTTCTTAAATGATCTGCCTATCTTGACTACTATATAGTAACTAACTATATAGTAAGTTCCTATGCAGTTAGTTCCTGAGTTCCTATATAGTAGGTTCCTAGTAAGTTCCTACATAGTTCCTATTTATTAGAAGTTCCTATTTCCTACTTCCTATATAAGTGCATGCAGCGAAAGAGTAACACAATAAGAATAATTACGCAAGCATTTTTATCTGGATTTTTGGGTTTTGAGCAAGACTTGTGTTTCAAGCTAATGTTATTTGCTTGCCTCTAATCTTGTAAAACTAAAAAGAAACATGTATTGATTTCCATTTACTACAATGCCAGATGTTTTATTTGGATAGTGAATTCTTGGCTAAATCGCTCAAAATCATTTTTGAGGTGCCAAAAAAATAACATTGAACCAAAATTATAGGCAGTCTTGTGCCTATTTCCTGTCAATTGCTATACAGTTTATGCAGTAAGAGCTGGGCCCATTGTATATTACATTTATATTAGCATTGATAAAACAGCAGCGGTTGATGTAGGGAGTTCTGGAGATGAGCGTACCGCTCGGCAGCGTAGGTCTCGGGGCCCTCCTCCTACACTCTCATATGGTTCTTTACATCGGTTGGCAATCGTTATCAGATTGTTCTCAGCTATGGTGATTGAAAGAATCTGTCAACATCTGCAGTGGGATACGTTCCCTCTTACAATGCTTTGCTTTTGAAAAACACTGTGCTGTCAACTTAGTAAGTCGCCTTCTCGCCCCTCCCCCCCTCCCCCCCCCCCCCGTCCCCCATATTCTCTCACTTGTGTATCCATATTCAAGAAATGAGTCAATTTGCTCAATCCAAGTAGTGTCGGGTGAGCGGAATTTTATGAGGTGACTTCGAAACTTATCGTAAGGCAAAGGTCGAACATCGTAGCAAAATGTCGTAAATGGGTTTGAGTAGCTTATCAGCTGTTTTACTCTGATGTTGATCCTGACTGTATTGGGTAAGTGTGTTCAAAAAAAAAGTGCGCTACACAAAATCGCATTTTTGTTGGAAGAAATTTTCATTGCTAAATAGAAAGATGTATTTCAAGCATGCTTTGGCAACATAATACAATAAGCTGAAGAGAAAACAACTGCACAAGAAGAATCCTAAGGAGCATTTTTTGAGGAAAATTTTCTTCTTCCAGCCGTGTCGTTGCTGACATGTTCTTCTCAGCCAGATTCTGCCGGAACCAAATTCATCTTCGGCTTTATCCGTGATGCTGATCGAAATATTTCCAACCAATTGCTATCAGTTACAGGTAACCACGTTTCGGCAATCTTCCCATTATCACCAATTTCTGAACTTTCTTAGACTTATTGCTGAGGATTTTTGATTTCTGCATTGTATCCATGCTTTCTGTAGGAGTTTACTCTTTGAATATTCCTTAATTTTCGTTTTCCTAGCCGATCCCTCATTTAGGGCACGGTATCAAAATTATCAGGACCACTCAACAAAAATGATAGGGCACGTTCTTTCTTGGAGAGAAAGGAGAGGGGAGGGGGGATACAGATATTAATGTATATAGTTACTTCGAACAAAGCCTACTATTCATCACTGCATTGATGCAATTTTTTCTCGAGATTATTGCCTGTAATTGTTACAGAACTAGATCAACACTTATGTTCCAGATTTGAAACAGGAATTTTTTTTTCAGATTCATGGGTATCAATCGTGTAGCTCACATGAGATAGTACTTTTTTTTTCTTATTTATTCGCTTATTTTGGCGAACACGGCAAACTAAAAGTTTTCTCCAATAAATTTGCTACACTCAAAAGTACCGTATCCTATCCACTCAAATTACGCCAACATTTTTCTCAATACATCTTATACGCTACACCATCATTTGTTTAAATATGTCTGTAAATGAAGCTAAAAAATTTGCCAAACTTGATTTCCTTTTAAAAATACTTACTTTGTTCTTAAACCTGTCGACTACCGTTGCAAACATGAGTCACCGCATAAGTCTCATTGCTGAAACGGGAGATTTCTCCTTACCTAAGTTTAGCTTTAGTTGTTGTCTAAAATAATCAAAATTGCGTGTAAAATGTAGAATCATTGAAAAAGCTAAGTTGTAAACTTTTGAAGAAATTGATCTAGGGATGTACTTTGATAAAATAAATCAGGTAGAATACATCCTATCGTTACACAAATTAAAGACATTTTTCGTCAACATTTATCGTTTCTTACATTTCTTTGATGATATGATGATTGCAACTACCAAAACATTAAGCCTTATTTTTAATCAACAGAGGGAAGTGTTATTGTTGTCGTCATGACTCTAAACACGGAGGGAGTGAACCTCCACCTATATTTTTTCATTGAAACAGAAAGTTCGCAGTCATTGACGGGTCTAAAAAGTGACACTTATTTTCAAGCGGTCGGATATAAAGCTGCTGGGGCCAAATTTGATCCACTTACTTGTTTTATAATTCAAGTTAGAATTTTTAATGTATGATGGCTAGCTAACATAGCCGACAACCACGTAGAACACTATTTTCGATTCTCAATACATTACCATGACAGACATGCATCCTCTTTTAAATTATGAGTCTGAAACAGGCAATTCCTTTTTGAATAATGACGATGGATTTTTGCATCAATTTACCAGCTTTGACCAGTGTCTCCGTTTTTGCTTTTATTGGTAACTAGTTGACTTACCCGGCTCCGCCCGGCCCTGTCATTATTATATTCGTAATCAGCATGCTCGATTACTCCCCTGTGCCAACTCCCAGCTCCGTAGCTCAAATTTTGCAAAAAAATCGATAAAATCGATATCGATAGATGACGAAAAGTAGCCTATGACACCCGCCGGGGCCCGAAGTGTATGTGTGCCAAGTTTGGTCCGGATCGGTTCAGAAATGGAATTTTGTATTCGGAACATACGTACATACATACAGACATTCAGCTTTATATATAAGATATAAAAGTAAGTGAATTTAGGACTACTTTTTTTCAAAAACATGACACACCTAATTATGTCCCTTTACTGATTAACAGAGTAAAAGAATTATAAAATAACCATTTTGATACTTACTTTATTCGAGCACATTGTGCTATGCATTGTACAGCTTTATAGGAGAATTACGTAAGTTGTGTCACAGTGAGAAAAAAGATTCTGTTATCTGGTTACTGCCTTTATTTTTCAGCAGAAAACTGCAAGTATCAGTAATTTTTCAAAGATTTGTATTTTCTATGAATTGCTTTTTCAGTACTGAATTCGAACACTTACGATTGCTATCTCGTAGTAGAGTACAATACCACCCGTAATTTGTGAAAAAAAATGGCGGCGGCACTTAACTTACGCGGCAAAAAGTCCACCTAACTTCGGCGGCGCCGCGTAAGTTAAGTGCCGCCGCCATTTTTTTTCACAAATTACGGGTGGTATTGTATAGTGAAGACTATGACGGTAGTTCTGGATTAAAGCAATTCAAGGTACCAGCGACGAACATGATTGAGGTAAGAATTTATGCGCCGACGCTTAAGTGTGAGTAAATCTCTTTAACTCCAATTTGCAGGTTTCTATACCATCCTGGTATGGTTGGATGTACGATTCTGGAGGCATGCAGGACGACAGGGGTCCATGGCAACTGATCTCTGCCAAATCTTCGTGTCCAGTCACTTTGATTGCGAACAATCATGATAATGCCACTTTTCAGGAGGATTCTTACCTAGGCAAGCAAATTTTTTTTTACAAAACTTGATTGTTAATGTTGCAAGTACGTCAAAAGAAGTTTGATCATATACAAAAAATTGGACAAATCTAGTTGCTACATGTTCATGCTGAGGTCAATAAACATTTGAGGAAAAAGCATCTACTTTGATGCTCCATGAGCTCAACTTAGAACATTAGCCCAGTGCTGAAAAGGGGTGGAGGGGGAAGGGGGAAGTTCCTTCGGAGTCTCGAAATTTTGCTCGGTTGTTTCAGTTGCAAGTTATTGGAGTAATTTCCATGAATTTTGGCAAAATCACAGTAGTCTTGAGGCTTTCCGAAAAATTACTATTCCCTCTTTTTCGCAGAATTTTGGAAGTCCCAAATATGGCATTTTGAACATCTCAAAAATTGTAAGGATTCTTGGCCAATGCGACCCTTTTCAAGAAATATTTCCGTTTTTTTTTAACCGAAAAGAAATTCTGTTGCCGTCAATGCTATGAATATACATGAAAATAACAAATTTACGTCTTTTCGCGGGGATGCTAGATTTATCAGATTGAAAGAAAACTAGGTATCTGTATTTACTTATCCTACCTTCCCGAATGAGTTGCATATTTTCCTCACTTTCAAGAGATCCTGATATACAACACACAATACTTCGCTCTAAGCCAGTCTTCTACATTAGTTTTATTTTTTGGTTAGAACTATGCCAAGCAGTACTCTGCGTTGATACCACTGCTT